CTTTTTTTTTATTTTATAGCTGAAGACGAAAATACATATTCTTTTTTTGTCTGTCTTTTATGTACTGTACTTTATGCTATGAAATCTAAGGAGAGCCAAAAAGAAAACGATCAGGACAGAAGACGTAACTGGCGACTGGAGCTTTCCATTCTCATCAAACACTACTATCTGACTTCAATGTGACCCCCTTTTTTTCATAACTGCAGTGTCTATGCATAAGACGGATTCTTACCCTCTTTCATATCTGGCAGCAAAGCTAGCATGAAACAATTCGAATGATTGGATCAGACTACTAGAAGCAATAGGTATCCAGCTCCGCTAACGTATACTGTAAGCTCAAAGCAGAATATTTTTTGAGCAGTTTCTACTCACAGAAATTTTTGCCCACATGATGCCCTTAACTTAGTCTTAATGGAAACAAATATAAAATGCAAACCTCTGAGTTTTCCCAGGATCCCCTCCAGGTGACGATTCAGATTTGTGCTCTTTCACCTGGAAAAAGTACCAAAACTTGGCTGCTCTTAAGCCCATTTTTGTATATTGTCATGGCTGTGTAAAAATGGTATGGTGTGTTTTGAGTATGTTCATTTTTTCACTAGGAATTTCAACCAAATGAAAAAGGTCACATGACTCCAACAAACATCTACAATGTTAAAAATTATGAATAGGCTTTTCTGTGAAAATACCCATCCATACACTCACTGTTTTTCTCCATCGCAGATAAAAATTTGCAATGGCCTCATCATCAAGAACACAACTGGATATCACTAACAAAGTGATGATGAGAACAATGGAAACGCCAACATCTGCTCTTGCTGAACTAGAGTTTGCTTGGCTTGTTCCTGATGCTTTTCCTGGGATGCTGTTTCGGGGCTGTTAGTTTTGGGTCTCAGTTCTCATTCAATCCGTTGCTTCCAAGATTTCTGTTTCTGAAAATAAGACATGAGAGATTAGGACCACTTAATGCAAGAAAATGCCAAGCAAGATACTTGACTAATAAAACAATAGTGCAAAAACAGTTGTGAAGACCTTGATGGATGCAACAGTTGATGTAACATGGCTATGACTGACTGTATCCAGAGCATATATAGTTTTATATCAGGGCCCACAAAGACAATGCTGTCAGATCGTTTAAGGTGGATAAACTTAAGAGAATAGTTCAATGTGTACATATGAGGCAACTGTCCTATAAACCAGTCTCTCAACTGGGGTGGCTGTCTGAGGTCATTGATTCAGGGAAGCCACGACATCCTGGTTGAGAATGGCATAATCAGGGCAGGCACTATGAGCATCTGGGTCCTGCCCCAGCCAGGAGGCATCTGAACCCTGATGGCTCAGTAGCAGAAGAGGCGGCGTCTGCATGAGCAGGGGAATCTGGGCAGATGGGGATAGTGAAAGGGCTTACAATTCAAGCACAGAGGCGGCAGAGTTCCCTGGATACCTGTGTGAGCATCTCCTACACCTCCAGCAGATCTCCTCCAGAGGAGAGGTCAAGGAAGGAGATCACTGACAGTACCCAACACAGATGGCATCAGTGTTCCACAACAGGTGAGGTTGACAAGACTACAGACCCCTGAGGTGACACAGGAACAATGCCCTGGACAGCCCGCTCTGTTCTCTGTTACAAATAGACTGCCATTGCTCTTATAATGAAGTATAGGTGTCTTCAGCTCTAACAGGTGAGGTACTGATTCCCAGGTGTTGCTGGCAACATGGCAGTGCCCAGGCGTTGCTGGTGACATGGCAATGCCCAGGTGTTACTGGAGACATGGCTGTGCCCAGGTTTGCATGACGGTTTTGAAAGTCGGAGAGATAAGCTGTGTGCCTACTGACTAGGCCGGATTTATGATTTTGCCCTCTTCCTTAGACAACCAACTTGTGTCAATTCTAATTCCTCGCTCAGCAGGAAATGCATGTGTGTGTATATATGTGAGTGTTTGTTATGCATGTATGTATGTATGTATATGTATGTATGTATGTATATATTTATACTGTATATATACACACACACACACACATACATATATACGTATACTTCCCGTGCGTGGCCACAAACATGTGTATGACCACGGCTGCTGCCTCTTCAGCTAAAGGTTGTTTTTAGCGTTGTTCTCTGTTTTGTGAGCAGAAGGATATAGTAAAAATGGCTCTAACAGTGCGGTTTTTCTGTCCTCCAACCTCATGTGTGAATAAGCCCTGGTTCACATCTGTGCATAGGGCAGCCTGTTCATTTCAATAGGATGCCCAACCTGCAGAAACTCAGCCCAAAGATGTCCCCAACCAAGTTTTTCTAAATTGTGCCGCACTGAAAATGCACTACATTTGCTAATAATATTATGCTAATAATATGTGGGGGTACCTTTAAGAATGAATGGCACCCCTGCGGGTCTGCTAAAGAGCAGCATGTTTTGTCTGTGTGTTGGGAACACATTCGATTAGGCGTGCATTTCCTGACACGCACTAATATGAACCAAGCCTTAGACTGGAGTGCCTTAAGACTAAGTATTTTTTCAAGGGCACCTTGGTTGGAAAAAGGTTGCAAAACACTGCTACAAACATTTGAGCAACATTTATCAACACAAGCTGAAAGGCTGGAACAACAAAATTTGCCTCATTCTGCACATTTAGGATGGAAGAGAAGGGAGACAGGGCAGACAACTCCCAAGCAATGAACAATGAAGACTAAACAGGTTTTCATACCTCCAATCAAGTCCCCCATTGCCCCCCACCAAACAAAAGTGGTTTAGTCTGCTGCTGCCACTGACACAACATTGTCATCTGATCCAGCCAACATATACCAGGGTTGAGCAATTCATATTGCCCGACGCCCGGGACATGCAGTTCCAGGCGTCAGGCAAGCAGTTTTTCCCTCTACCCAGGCAAGCAGCAGGGCTCTCCCTGTCAGGTGGGAAGCAGTCGGGTGGCAGCGCTGCCGCTCGATTGCTTCCACACAGCCCACAGTGCCAACCTCTCCCCCACTGTCCGCTATATGTCCCGGGTTCCGCTTGCCCATCTGCAGGCCCCGGACTGGTACAGTGGGTGTCGGAGGGATGCAGTATAGGAAAGGGAGGAGAGCGGTCACTTCCGGGTCCCCGCTGACAGATTCCCAGTCATTGAGGCCGGGGAAAGAATGTAATGCGGTGCGTTGTGCACTGCATTACATTCAGTGGCGCACAGGGGAGATATCCAGGGTCTTTTAGACCCTGGATGTCTCAAAAAAACAGAACCTGTCACCAAAAATCATCTCATATGGGGACTTTTTGTCCCCTATGTGATTAAAAAGAAAAAAAAAAAAGTTAAGTAAAATAATTTTTTTTTTTTTAAATGAAAGTTACACCCAAGCATATAACCCCCCCCAAAAAAATTTTTTCAAAGCCCCCCACCCCTACATATGTATGCATGTAAAAGCACCTACATATGAAAATGTTGATTGCAATACAAGTTACATGTCGCCAAGCTCACCAGAATGAGAGCAATAATTCTAGCACGAGACCTCCTCCGTAACACTAAAACTGATGACCTATAAGGGGCTTTAAAAGCGACACCTATAGAAAATATAGGGTACTAAACCTTTGTTACCGTTTCACGAGTGCACGCAAATTTAAGGTTTGACATGTTGGATATCTATTTACTCGATGCAACCTCGTCTTTTATATTTTACATAAAAATTGGATAATTTATTACTTGTTGTGAAAGTATCGTGTGACATAAAAAATTGTAAATACTGCTATTTTTTTCTCTAGGATCTCTGATTTCAGAAAATATATAATGTTTGGGGGTTTTGTGTCGTCTTCAGGTGTTAAATGATTTTTTAAATGTGTGCAAAAAAAAAGCAAAAGCGTCTCTGGCAGCGAAAGAATAAAGGATAAGCCAGACACTCCCCTTTCCAGATGAGCACCCAAAGACTGCAAGGTCTTTCTCCTCCCTGCTAGTCCCAGGGTGATGTGCTGAAGAGACGCAGGGAGGGGAGGAGGAGATAAAAGCGCAATATTACGAATATTAAACTTTTAAGTTGTCATAGAACCCCTTCTGTTTTTTAAAAGCCCCAGACATTACTTAAAGCAGATTTTAAATACCATTTTGGTTAAAAAAACATTTTTGTATCTGGACAAGTAGATTGTCATGAGGGACAAGTAGATTGGACACCAGTCTAGTCCCTGGACAAGTAGTTTTTTTTTCAAAAATTTCCACACCCCTATATACACACATGTATGCACTGATACACAGTACATAGATCTTACGTTTGCCTAAAACCTCTGCTGTGAACAATAAAAACTTTATTTATAGCTTAATTTTATAGCACTCCAGTGGGGCCAAAGTGTACAGAGGTGAGCCCAGACACCTGCATTAGCCTCTCAGTCTTATCATTAGCATGTGTTAAGTCATTATATCAGAAAAGTGGGCTAATAAATACCAATAGCATCTCAGACAGTATGGTGATGTCGGCTTTTATGTAACAGTTAAACCTAGTACACACTACTATTTTTTTTTTCCATTCAACCCAGTGTGCTGAACGAAAACAACCTGGCAGCTCAGGAGGAGCTGCTGTACTAAATATGCAATGTTAGTACAGCGATCTCCCTGCTGTGCACTTGTGTTCTGATGGTGCCCCCCACCCCGCCAGAACACTCTGGTCAGCGCTCTCAGCCATTGCCTGATTGTGAGCTGATCGGCAGACCTTTTTCGGTCATACCCCCTAACAGTCGGCTTCTGTTGGACCAGCTACCATAACACACAGCCCAAATGTCCGCCGGTTTCTAATTAAACTGGCCAATTCCGCCCAACCTTTGGCCCATTTGTACTAGGCTTTAGGCTGGTGGTGTTGACAATTTCTCTACAGACTGTAAGCTCGTACTTGCAGAACATTTATTCCTGCTGTGCTGTATATGAATGTGGTATAGTATGAACCAGTTTGTAAGACAAAACTGCAGGTGTTACATGAATTGATAACACAAAAAATTTACATTATTTACAATGCGAGTGTCAAAAATCCATTAAAATTAATAAAACTTACCTGTTATTTCTTCAACCTCAATACCAGCTTTTTTCACAGACCTATGTTCTGCTTCTAGGAGAAAAAAACCCATCAATGTACTGAACTCTTCCAAACAGCACAATAAATACAAGATATAGCAGTAATAAAACAATGAACAACCCAGATCAGAAAAATGAGCATTTGTGCATTGAGGCTCGCTACATTCACTTGGAATAGGGCAGTTGGCAGTGCACCTCATTTCAGGAAAAACTGCACCTGCTGCATTTCCAGCAATGCAAACAAAAAAGGTATATTTGGCAGCTACTGTGTGTGCACTGATGTGTCAGTCCAAATGAATGGCCCATACACACACACACACACACACACGATATAAGACACCATAAAAAGTATGTTTTACTGCAACACACAAATGTACAGACAGCCTAAAAAAGTGATAATTCAAGCAACCACTGTTTAAAAATAATGTTCCGTTTACATCAAAATTCTGGTGCCTTAATTCAAGGCCATTCAATTTCTTCTGGATCTTTAACTACGTGTTCTTAGCTCATGGGGCAAAATAAAACTGACCATCAGAGGAAATATACAAGTGACAGATGGATCAGCATCAACCTTATTTATCATGCTCATGTATACCATGCAGCTGTACTACTGAAATTTCAAACAGACATCATATGTGCACCACTGCAGGATATTGCCAGGGAATGCTCTAAAATTAATCTTCCAAGGTAAAAAAAACTATACATAATAACAAATATGCCAGCAGTCTCAAAAATCTTGTGATTAACGGACCAGACAGTTAAAGGCAATGGGCAATTAATTGTGTGGGGTTTCCACTACCAGTGAACTGCAGTATGAGTTGCTGCTTAACAATTCTCAGTAAAATCAGACAAGTGCAGAATGTGGCTTAAAAAAAAAACAAAAACCATTAAGCCACCTTATAGAATGTCTATTCAAATGAATACGTGTCTTTATACTATGCACATAAAACCAGTCTAAACATTCAAGGTTTCATTTCAAAGTTTGCTTGGATCATTTAGCCAAAATAAATAAGAACAGGAGACCAAGCATGGACAGAACATACTTTCTGAGGGTGAGAATTTCCACACTGTGTTGGCATGGGCATCTCCAACGTACACCACTCCATCGTCTGATGCCACAAGGTCATGGGGCATGTCAAAATTCTGCAAAAATAACCACAGACACATACAGTGTGAACATTCATCCAAAACAAACCTCTGAGCTTCACCCGACAAACATGTTCTAATACGACTTCTAATGCTTTCCAACAATCTACTATTTACATAGCTACAATATATTAGGCACACATTTAAAGGGACTCTGTTGGCAAGTAAAACTGTCCACAACAAGGTCAAGCAATTCAGGAATCTCTGGAAAAACTCAATTACATCAAATATGGTTCAAACAGTCCAAGAGGCTGGGGTCTGTGAAAGAGATTTTCTGCCAAACTGGAAAATTTACTGCAATCTTTTCCATAGAAAAAGGATGCAGTATTTTCACTGTATTGGTGCCAACACTAAGAATGAGATGTATTTGGTATGGCACACACCAGTAGATAATTATCATTTCAGGGGTTAAGGGATTTTGTATACATTTCTATAGTTAATTTACAATCAATAAGGTAAATAACCCCGTTCAGTAGGTCAGGCTGGGTTTCTTACTACCAGTTACAGTTAAACAAAGTCAGGAAACCATATTACCTTTTTAACTGGAACAAAGGTGTCAAGAATGTCCCCTGTAGTGAAGTTCATTGCAAAGCCTTGTACAGGCTCTGAATCCCCATAATAGGATTTCCCATTTACAGCATACAATGTTCCTCCTGGAAGAAACGTGGACAGATATAGAACTGTTACTTTGTTAAGTCATTGTTACTAATGGAAACCTGTCACAATACCTATCATGCTAGCAGCAGATATCAGGCATCTCCAAGTTCATACAATTCTTTTACAGGAACTGTACATGTATCAGATGTATGAGATCTTACACACACTCAATGCCTCTCTATACATTACATTGATAAATTGCAAAATGAAGGATGCATGTTACAGCAATCATCTTCAATTGGCTATTATGTGCCTATGGTGTGAAAAAAAGAAAATGCAGCAAATAATAGGATATACCTTCCATGTACACATGAACAGAATTACAAAGTGACAGGTTCGCTTTAATGGGAGTTAACATATTTGGCACAGCCAACATCCCAATCATCAGCTCATTTCATAAATGCACTAGCAAGGCTATTAATGAAATTGACTGGTGAGCTAATTTCGAGTGGTTGATTGGCTATTGTCCATGTGTAACTAGGATGTCTTCACAAGGTATACCTATACATAAGATGGCTGTCAGCTGCAATCAAACCAAGAAATAATTGAATGGCTGTGGGTATTTCTCAGCTTTCACAATTTACCTGATCAACCCTTCTCAAAGGAAGGATCATGCATATGATCAAAGCATACATTTGCAGAAAAACCTGTTTAGTGGTCAGACCATGCCTCCATGGCCAGCCACAATCTAACAACTTTAAGCACCTATAGAGATTATTTTGTTAATTAAAGGCCAAATTCACCTTTCTGAACATGTTACACTTGTACATGTTCAACATGTGCCCCCTCTCCCCCCCAAGTGGGGGTGAAATGCTCCGCTGATCTGATTCCTTAGAAAAAAATGAATACATGCACATTGTTTTACCTGCAACAAAATGTGCATTTATTATTTTTTTTTTCAAAAAGCGAACTTATCCTTTTATCTATACACATCAACCAATTGTAAAGATTACTAGCCCAGAAAACCACTGTAACTTGCCTCCTAACACAAGTCTATCATTTTTGTATAGCTTCCAATAAAATCTAGTCTACTGTCTACAAGCAATTAAATTATTATGACATATAAAATGTAGAAAGATAGGGATTCTTGTATTTTCTAATCAGAAGTTAGGGAACATTTCCAGGGACATAACATTTCAAGGAAATGTCTTCAAAGCCAGAATTAGTTTCCCTGGAAATTGGAGACATTTAACAGCTCTGACGTTACCAAAACCAACTTGTACTGAGGTCAGCCAAGACAGACACAGCTGTGTAAATCCCCTCCTCTTACCTGAGCCATAGGCGACAGCAAAGACTCTACTTCCAAATGCTGCATGTTTGATTTCTTTAACAAAGTGTCCTGTTTCAGAATGGAAACACTGAATCCTCCCGTTCTCTCTGTCAGCCACACAAAGCTGCCCTTGGTCAGGTATCAGAGCCAGACTGTGTGGGATGCGGAACTCTCCAGGCTTAGCAGTCCTTGATGAGGAAGCTAGAAAACATTATTTAATTACTTACATCTACAGAAACAGAAACAGGATGGCTTCCTAATACTGTACAGATAAGGACCTAGCTTCTGCCATATGAAGATGACTTAACTGGAATGGTAGACTTCATTGGAAGACTCCACTTTTAGTTCTACAGTTTGAATAGCAAATACTGGTGTGATGTTGGATAGTGCCATTATCCCCAAAATTCGTAGAGTATAGGAGACAACCCTCTTTAGCTGGGACTTACCTATTGGGCACTTTCACCCCCTTCCTGCTGAGGTCAATTTTCAGCTTTCAGTGCTGTTGCACTTTGAATGACAACTGCGCGATCATGCAACACTGTACCTAAACTAAATTATTATCATTTTTTGAGATGGATAGAACTTTATTTTGGTGGTATTTAATCACCACTGGGTTTTTTTATTTTTTGCTAAACAAACAAAAAAAGTTTTTCTTAGTTTGTTATAAAATTGTAAATAAGTAATTTTTCTCCTTTACGGATGTGTGCAGATGAGGCTGCACTGATAGATGGCACTGATGGGCACTGCCAGGCATCATTTATAGGCACTGCAAAGAAGCACTAATGGGCACTGATAGGTGGCACGACAGGCGGCACTGGTAGGTGGCACTGAAAGTTACTGATAGACTGTACTGATGAGGAGGCACTGCTGGGCATTAACAGGCATCACTGATGGGCACTGCTATGTGGAACTGATAGGTACTAATAGACTGCACTGTTGAGAAGGCACTGATAGGCGGTACTGACAGGCACCACCAACGGGCACTGAAAGGCAGCTCAGATGGGCACTGATATGTGGCATTGATGGGCAGTGAAAGGCAGCAGTGATGAGGCTGCACTGATAATCAGGGCACTGATGATCAGAGCCCTTATTATCAGTGTAGAGATGTCCCCTCTGAGGAATGCTGCTTACTGGCTCTGCCCATAACTGGCATTTCCTGTTTACATGTGATCAGCTGTGATTGGACACAGCTGATCACATGGTAGAGCCTACGTCATCGAATGCCGGAGTGACCATGCGCAGCTAGTGTGGGAGAACCTCATGAACAAGAGAGCTCCCGCCCGCCCATCATTTCCTTACACGGCAGGTGCGAGACTGTTGAGGCACATGTTGGACACAAATTGTAAAAAAAATATTATGAAATAAATGTTATTGTACAAACGTATTTAAATCTATGACAAAAAAAAAATAGGCGGTTTAATATTTTTTACATCAGTCATGATTCACATGGGGTACAAGCTCAAAAAAAAGCACAAAATTGCATCTATGTAATGATAGAGCAACTGGCGCGTTTTGAGACAGGAATTAAATCTCTTCTTCAGAGGTGCCTAGATAAAGAGCATGATAACCTGCAGTGAAACCACATTCATAAATATACGGTTTCATCATGTCGCCATCTCAAAATTTCTCCCAGATGAGGCCGCGGAAAAAATATTATGTGTATTAAAATGTATTAAAATATATGTATATTGAGACACTTTAAACCCAGTGTGATTCCTGTTCGTTGCTCCTTACGTTTATTAATGGACAAGGCATACCTTTTCCCTTTATACAAGCATGGGCATATTTTTTTCTATATAGTTATTTATATATATCTTTTTGTTGCAATCCTGGCAGTATACATGAGAACTACACATGAGAGCCCTCCAGCTGTGCTCCCTTTGGCCATCCTTGGGAGAGGTTTGATGCAGTGAAATTTTTTCTGCGGCCCCATGCGGGAGACATTTTTAGATGGTGATAGTATTTTTCTTTGTTTTAAATTATGGCGGTTACTACCCATCAATCTTTCTAGACAGGGTCAGTATGGCATTTTGCATGCAGCCCATAACACTGTTCTATATGTTTGATGAAGCATATATTTATCAATGTGTTTTCACTGCAGGTTATCAGGCTCTTTACCTAGGCACCTCTGAAGAAGAAATTTAATTCCTGTCTTGAAACGCGTCAGTGCCCTATCATTACATGGGGTACAAGCTAAAAAAAAAACAAAAAAACACAAAATTACATCCATGTGAATCATGACTGATGTAAAAAGATTCAACCGGCTATTTTTTGTGTCATGGTTTTAAATACTTTTGTACAATAACAATTTATATTTTGTACAATTTGTGTCCAACATATGCCTTCAAAGTCCCAGCCAAAGAGGGTTGTCTCTTCTATTTTACAGTTTCAATGAACCCCAAAATTATAGCCTATATAAGAAACTGCCAGTCTGGGTAACATATTTCAAACATTCAGTTGGGATTCTTCCCAATGTATTTCAAAAAGATTCTTTAACCAGTTGAGAACACCAGGCGTGCTACACACGTCCATAAAAACTTCATCAAAATACACAGGGTATGTTTAATATGCCCTGTCCCTTTCCCTGCTGCCACACCCTCTTGGAGTTGCTGTGTACATACAGAAGCTTTAGAAGCTGCTACTGTTAAAAAAAAACAAAAACTGTCTAACAGGAGGTTTATCAACAATATGCTGAGGCGAAATACAGAGATACAAAGTAACAGTGTTACTTTGTATTTACTCGGTTTCATTCATCTACAGATCAAAGAGATGAGCTTCCATCCATCCATCCATCTATCTATCTATCCATCTATCTATCCATCTATCTATCCATCTATCTATCCATCTATCTATCCATCCATCCATCTATCCATCCATCCATCTATCCATCCATCCATCCATCCATCCATCCATCTATCCATCCATCCATCCATCTATCCATCCATCCATCCATCTATCTATCCATCTATCCATCTATCTATCTAATACTGCTTCAACTGACATCATATACATAAACATACTATATTGCAGTTTACATACTGTTAGATGAGATGGCTGCATTCGTTTTCTTTTTTAGGCTTCTATATTTTATTTTCATCTAGTAATCCAGCCAGGAGGTTTGTTAATTTCACAAGCACAAGCTCTCCAGTAGACTGTATCAGTTTACATGGATGAGACAAGCAATTTAACACTGGCAGAGGTGATTAAAATGATCAGCTATTATTTATTCGTGTAAAGCCTTTATCCCAAAGGGAAAAAAAAAACAGTTTTCTTAATTTGTTAGTGGAGTTAAATCTTCTAATACATTTAACACTACTCTCTCCCTAGATTGACAATGCTGTTGCGTGCTGTGCCTCCTGTGCTCATTCATCCAGAGCTGGGTCTCACTAATACAGGAGATGGGTTACTGGCCAGATTACCAGGTGAAATCAGAGGGGTAAAAAGCCAAAGAAAAGAAAATTGATGCAGCCACCACATCTAATGATTGGTAAACTACAATATATAACATTTTTGGTTTTGGGTTTAATACCGCTTTAAAGTGGAAGAAAACCCTAACTAGAACTATTCTTAAGAATGTTCTCTTCCCCTCCTCCTATCTATTCCGCCTAACCTGAATAAAAAAAAGATGCATTTACTTATACATTTTCAATCTGTTCCAGTTATGTGATCCTGCAGCTCTGTGTGAGGAAGCGCTCAACAACGGCTGTGAATCCTGGGAGCTGTGACCTCACCCATGGAATCCCATGGCCCAGCCATTGTTGGCGCTTCCTCCTCTCCCCTGCAGATGCTGCTCACTGTGACCCAGGGGAACCTAAGCTGCGGGATCCTGTAACCAGACCAGAGCCAATGAAATATAGATAAGTACACAGATATTTTTTTACACAGTTTAGACAGAATAGGTAAAAGGAGGGGGGAGGGAACATTTTTAAGAATAGTTATAGTTAGACTTTTCTTCCACTTTAAAGCAACCCGACATTTAAAAGAAAAAAAGTTGTTTTTTTTTAAATAAAATTTGCTCTAAAATTTGCTAAGCGGCCCTAAGTAACCCCTTTCCCATCTCACTTTATTTTCCTGCTGATTTTTTTTTATTTTATTTATATATTCTATCAACCATTAATATTTAGACTTTTTTTTTTTTTTTCCTTTCTTTGCTGAAGATTTTTTTGTTTAAAAAAAAAAAAAAAAAAAAAAAAGTGCAAAAATGCACAAAATGTAAAACAAAAACAAAAGACCCTTGTTTGCCTAACTTTTTAGTTCTTTGTACCAGAATCACATTTTTTAGTTGTTCAATACCTTCCAGTCAAATCCTAAGGCTAAATCTACTTCCACCCCATTCTAAGACTTTTCTCTCTACCCTGTAAAGGAAAGTTATGTATTATTTACTTATTCGGACATCGTTCCAGTGCTGGCTTCAATGTAGAGAAGGGCCGGACAACAGTTGCCCCATAGCAAACCTATGAGTGATGTCATCTCCGAGGCTCTGCAGTCGTTTTCATTGCCTCTCCTCTACACTGAAGCTGGTGCTGGGACCCAATTATTTGATTGGACCGAAGTGGCTTTATAATAGGCAAGTACACACAAGGTATAGTTAAAGGTAAAATACAGGTTCTTTGACTAAGGTTTTGCATCCTGCTGTGTGAAGGCAACAGTCGTACTTGTTCATTTCCTAAATTAAAAAAACAAGAAATCCTACGCCAGATCTGTACTTACCTTCTCCCCACTGCATGATGAACATGCCTTGAGGTGAGAACTGCATGATTCTACTGTTGCAGTAGCCATCGGACACAAAGAAATTGCCTGTTATTGGATCCACTGCAACATCAGTTGGTTGACAGAAGTGGTTCCGGTCACTGCCCGGTTGAAAAGCCTTACCCAGTGTAAAAATACGTGAACCATCGGGCCCTAATTTGAAAACCTTTAAAGAAAGTTAAAAAAAAAAAAACACGAGTCAGAATTATACATTCTTATTATTATTATACAGTATTTATATAGCGCCAAAGGGTTTGCTCAGCGCTGTACAATAGCAATCAGAACATGAGACATGACAGTAACAATACAATACATGAGGGGTTCAAGGGCCTTGCTCTTTCAAACAATTTATTAGTTGAAAAGACACCGCAATCAACCACTTAAGAACCACAGATAGTAGATGCTAAACCAGATGAGGTGGCCTTAGTACAGCAGAATCTAGCTCTTCTCTAGATATTTCTGTCTCTGCATAGTACACATGTATGTGTACTTATGTGTGAACATTCACATGTTCCAGATACTTAATGTGATCAAAAACAATTACTAAGAACCAGAGCCACAGTGAAGGGTCAAACACGACTCCCAGCTTGTGATCAAAGTCATTTCACAGTGTCCACCAGACACAACATATTTTATACAAACAGTTATAAAAATCCATATGTATAGTCAAAACCTTTTTCTTTTGCTTTGGCTAGAGTACGGAAGAAAAAAAGAACCTGTCAGAAGTTCATTGTTGTGTTTCCCCTTCCACCATCACCAAGACAGAAAGTGATGAAAAATCCAAAATTTGACAGGTGTCACCACAACAAGAGGACATCTCCCCTGGTGAGTACTATCTAAGAAGGCACTTTCCCTTACTTTGGATAGATGACAGGAAAAAAAAAAGAGACATCTCCCCAATGGAACACATAGGTAGGAAAGAAAAAAACTGAAAAAGTATTTAACCCTTTCTTACTTTATCCAAAACTAAAAGAGAAAAGTTTTGGCTATACATAGTCATTTGTACATTACAGTCATCAATTTCACATGCATGTCTAATAAACATTAAAAGACTATAATTACTGAGTATTACAGCAGTGCAGGATTTACACAAGCTCATAACCACAATAGCAGCCGCTTTACTCAGTAGACTCTTGGCAGTTTAGTATAAAGTGATTGGATAGCTGTCATGTTCCCTGTTCACTTTTAGTCTGCTTGTGTGGTTCGCAAGCCAATACGCTCCTTCTACAACCATGAAAAAGGTGGTAGGATGGCATGCATAAGTTCCCTGATACTCCTCTGCACAAAATGAACCCAAAAGTGCTTAGCTCTGCGTATTTCTGTGATCAAAGATATCAAACCCTTGCACTGTTACTAGATAAACAGCATATTGGTGGCTTTCTGTCCTCAATCTTCTTGGGCAGAACACAGAGGAGGCAATAACCCGGATTTCTAAATTAAGAGGATCTGTCACTGCTCAATGCTATCACTTAAAGGACCTTTTATTCCCTTTGTGACAGCATTTAAGCAAAGTAAACAAAACATTGGGAAAAGTCAAAAAAGCACATGCAGGGCTTGGGGAGGTAATCAAGGATTGTGCAAGACCTATTAGGCTTCACATTGCACACCAGAATGAGGGCAATAATTCTAAGCTATTTAGGATTCACTTAGATTGGAAGCTCCAAGGAGCAGGGCCCTCCTAACCAGGGACGGACTGTCCATTTGGAAACTCGGGCACTGCCCGAGGGCCTGGGGTCAGTAGGGGCCCCATGGGATGCCCCTGGTACCTTTTTCATAGGCTTTTTTGAGTTTGGGCAAGGACACAGGGGCCCCATGATCCCCTATTGCCTGGGGGCCCCATGAGTTGTCAGTCTGCCCCTGCTCCTAACCCTCTTGTATTGAACTGTATTGTTGCTGTATTGTCTCCCGTTATATTGTAAAGCGCTGAGCAAGCTGTTAGCGCTATATAAATCCTGTATAATAATAATAAAATGATGAGCAGTAAAAAATTTCAAAGTAATGGGTGCTCAACCTGCGACCCTCCAGCTGTTGCGGAACTACGAGTCCCATGAGGCATTGCAAGGCTGACCGTTACTAGCATGACTCCCAAAAGCAGAAGCATGTTGGGACTTGTAGTTCCACAACAGTTGGAGGGCCACAGGTTGAGCAGTCATAGGACAAATCTGATCATCAAAGTTTTTTTTTACCTTTTCACATGTGCATCTAATTTTGAGGCTTGACATATTTGGTATCTACTTTCTGGAAGCAGTCGCCTCTTATAAATCTGAAGAGAATATTGTGTTTGTGTGCACTAAAACTAGCTGAATATTTTTTATCTCAAAATTTGATAAACAGCTTGCAAATATCATGCAAAAAAAAAACAAATCTGCAGCATAGTGGTTAAAAGAAGAAGCATACACTACCTCCTTATCCCTCTACGATACTTCTAATGCTTCATGCCATCCTGTTAGAACATTCATATAAAATGTCAGCTTTTATTACTAAAATGTCAAAAGATATCAACCTACATACCTGATGAAGAGCGACATCAGTGACCCAAAAGTTTCCATCTCTATCAACTGTTATACCATGAGGTAAATAAAACCTGAAGAACAAAAAACAAAAAAAAAGAGAGGAGGATGAATTAGAGATATATAAATAAGTAAATAAATAATTTCAAAACTTGTTTACTGCCTGAAGATGAGCTTAAATGTTGCCAGGTTTTGAGATTTTATAGCCGAGAAACACCATCAAGAAGGAAACAATGGCATAATCCAAACATGGAGGATAACAGAAAAGAAACATGAAGCAGTTCCCCATAGCAACCAGTCAACTTCCTTGACTGAAATGAAAGATTAAATCTAATCAGTTACTAGGGATGGCAGCTACAGTTTTGCTCCAGTTATCAGGACCCTGGGGCCTCAGCTGGAATTCAATTACATAAAAACAATAAATCAACGATGTTAGCAGGACATGTAAGAGGTGTGACCTCCCTATCTTCTTACTGAGACTTCCCATACACACTGTGATTTTATGGTTAATGGAGGAACCTGCACTGCTGGCTAATGTATTCAGAAAGACGCAGCAGCTTGGGTGAATACCCGAATATTTCAGTCACTGCTTGGGTGATAATTTTCCGAATGGCTGGGTGGTGCCATCAGGGTCATCCACGGTCCGAATTTTATTGATACTAAACTCTAGTTAAAAAAAAAAAAAAAAAAAAATCATGTACTATATATATATTCCTAATTCAAAAATGTACCTTCTATTGCTCTAAGCCTCCTTCAAATCTGCCAAATTCTTTTTTTTTTTTTTTGTGCTGTGATCTGATTTCCCGTTTAGAGGGTGGCTACGTTCGTTCTCCATGGTCCCACTGTATATAGGAATGTAGCCACCCTCTCTTGTCGGCTCCTGAGATGGACTAGGGTCTATGGGATTTGTAGTGTGCATAGAGCAGTGTACATGACCACAACTAACATGCACTACTCGTTCCAAACAAACAGAATGAGTGGTGAAAGAAGTTCAGGAGCTCACAGAGGACATTACAAAAAGGCAAAAAAAAACACAGAAAAGAACAATTTCTTGAAAAACGGATTATGGGGTCTTTAAGTAGTAAATGTGTATGAATTATTTTTCAAGAATAAGGAGATCGTTTAGTGCCACTTTGAGACATTGCTCACAGGCATAGAAGGACCTACAGGGTAACATTGCTGCATCTACAATGAAAAAAACAACATGCAGTATACTGCAGCTTACCAGATGTGGTGGCTGCATTAGTTTTCTTTGTTCAGGCCTTTTATTTATTTTAACCTGGCGATCATGCCAGTAACAAACCTCCCCTGTCTTAGGGTCCATTCACACACGGCACTTTACTGTAGGCCCCGTGCAGATTCATGTTTTCCCGGAGGTGTTGCATGCATCCCTATGCACAGACACAGCCGTGTCCTAATATGAATGCAGGTGAGTGTGGGTCCTCAAAAGTATACAGAGTGCATTCGGGGACCCACACACAACCGCATGTTATATTAGGACACAGAAGCTGTGTCCGTGCAGCCACGTGTCCCAATAGAAATAAATGGAAAGCTGGCATAGGGATACAAAGAACACCTGTGCATCCTGCCATGTCAAAAAAACAAAAACCTGCTCGGGGCCTGCAGTCAAACACCCCATGTGAAAGGACCCTTAGGGTGACAACATTCACCTACAGTATTATATGTATGTTGTCACCCTAGACTGTGCTTCTGATTTGGAATATAAAATCCTCCTCTCCAATACATAGGGAGGAGGTGTTTTTTAGTTCGCGGAACATAGCTAGGAAAGTTGACAACACAGTTTGTGATTTTATTTCCGAGAACAGGAAATTACAAAGACTCAAGATTTCTGGCAATATCAAGGGGCATTTCTGTGTTTGTTTATTAATACATTTACATTAGTGCACTTATACAGTTGCAAGAAAAAGTATGTGAACCCCTTGGGATTACGTGGAGTTTTGCATGAATTGGGCATAAAATGTGCTCTGAACGTCCTCTAAGTCACAACAATAGAAGAACACAGTCTCCTGAACATAATACTACACAAACATTAGATGTTGCCATGGTTTAATTGCACATAACATGTAAACATTCACAGTGCAGGGAGGAAAAAGTATGTGAGGCCCTAGCTTAATGACTTCTCCCAGAGCTAATTGGAGCCAGGAGTGAGCCAACCTTGACTCCAATCAGTGTGATGATATTGGATGTGTTGCCGACAGCTGTCCTGCCCTTAAAAAACACACACCTGTTTTGGGTTTACTGGTTTCAAGAAGCACTGTCTGATGTGAACCATGCCTCGCAGAAAAGAGCTCTCAGAAGACCTACGATCAAGAATTGTTGACTTGCATGAAGCTGGAAAGGGTTACAAAAGTATCTCCAAAAGCCTTGATGTTCATGTGTCCACGGTAAGACAGACTGTCTACAAATGGAGAAAGTTTAGCACTGTTGCTACTCTCCCTAGGCGTGGTCGTCCTGTAAAAAATGACTGCAAGAGCACAGCGCAGAATGCTGCATGAGGTAAAGAAGAATCCCAGAGTGTCAGCTAAAGACCTACAGAAATCTCTGGCACATGCTAACATTTTTGTTGACACATCTACAATAAGGAAAACATTAAACAAGAATGGAGTACATGGGAGGACACCACAGAGGAAGCCATTGCTGTCCAAAAAGAATATTGCAGCACGTTTGAAGTTTGCAAAAGAGCACCTGGATGTTCCACAGCACTACTGGCAAAATATACTGTGGACAGATGAAACCAAGATTGAGTTGTTTGGGAAGAACACACAACACTATGTGTGGAGAAAAAAAAGGCACAGCACACCAACATCAAAACCTCATCCCCACTGTAAAACATGGCGGAGGGAGCATCATGGTTTGGGGCTGCTTTGCTGCCTCAGGGCCTGGACAGATTGTTGTCATTGATGGGAAAATGAATTCCAGAGTTTATCAAGACATTTTGCAGGAAAACGTATGACCATCTGTCCGCCAACTGAAGCTCCGCAGAGGATGGGTGATGCAACAGGACAATGACCCAAAGCATACAAGTAATTCAACAAAACAATGGCTGCAACAGCACAGAAAACGCCTTCTGGAGTGGCCCAGTAAGAGTCCTGACCTCAACCCGATTGAAATGCTGTGGCATGATCTTAAGGAAGCGACTCACACCAGATATCCCAAGAATATTGCTACACTGAAACAGTTTTGTGAAGAGGAGTGGTCCAAAATTACTCCAGATCGTTGTGCAGGTCTGATCTGCAACTACAGGAAACGTTTGGTTGAGGTTATTGCTGCCAAAGGAGGGTCAACCAGTTATTAAGTCCAAAGGTTCACATACTTTTTCCTCCCTGTACTGTGAATGTTTACCTGTTATGTGCAATTAAACCATGGCAGCATCTAATGTTTGTGTAGTATTATGTTCAGCAGACTGTGTTCTTCTATTGTTGTGACTTAGATGACGTTCAGAGCACATTTTATGCCCAATTCATGCAAAACTCCACGTAATCCCAAGGGGTTCACATACTTTTTCTTGCAACTGTAGATATAAAATAACAGGATCTGGCCAATAAAATGTTAAAGACAAGGAAAGGGGTGAATTAATAAATGCAACTGAATTGATAATATAAACAACTACATTGCTCCTAAATTCCTCTTTATATCAATAATTAGTCCTCATTAGATTCAGCACCAGGGTTCCAATGTAAATCAATGTTATAATGTCAGAGCCTTTTAATTAAAGTGCTATTCAATAAGGCAACAGTGTTAGGAATACTCATTAGAAGCAAAACCAACACAGAACTGCATAAGAAAAGCATATGTATAACAGAGCTCCATGGATCTAGGCATACTTATTTAATGTGTACAGCCCCTGCTACTCCCCAGCTATACGAAGGTCCAACATTGAAAATATGTTTTGTAGGGTTGTACAACTTTTTTTTTATCCTTTTTATGCTCTTGCATAAAACATAATGGTCTATTCAAGCTGGAGATATAAAGACTAAGCCCTGGTACAATCCAATGTGACTTGTTATGCGACTTTGAAGTCGCATGACAAGTCAAATCCCATGTCTTTCTATGTCCCCATTCTAGTTGCAAAAAAATCTGACCTCAGAGCTGCACAACTTTGGGGTCCAATTGGTGAGGGGCTTATTAAAAGTAATGTAGACTTCACCTCTGCAACATCTCCAAGATACGACCGTTCCTAACGTAGGAAACCACTAAGCAACTTATTCACTCCCTTATTATATCACGCCTTGACTACTGTAACTCCCTCCTCACTGACCTACCTCAACACAGGCTATCCCCTCTTCAGTCTATCATGAATGCTGCTGCCAGACTCATTCACCTTACTAACCGCTCTATATCTGCCACCCCTCTCTCCAATTCCCTCCACTGGCTTCCCGTTGCCCAACGGATAAAATTCAAAACACTGACACTGACGTATAAAGCCGTTCATAACACTGCCCCTAACTACATCACTGACCTTGTCTATAAATACCACCCAAACCATACTCTCCGCTCCTCGCAAGAACTTTCATGGGATTTTTCAGAGGGCTTTTCATGGGCTTCACTCATCCTCTGGAACTCCGTACCCCAATCTTTCAGGCTATCGCCTACTCTGCTCACCTTTAGGCGCACTCTGAAAACCCATCTCTTCAGGGAAGCCTACCCCGACCCCAGCTAATACTGGAATCCACTACTCCTCCTACCACTCCATCCCCCACAGCTAATTACCTCTTGTACCACTATCCCCTCCCTCCTAGATTGTAAGCTCCAAGGAGCAGGGCCCTCTAATCCCTCTTGTATTGAACTGTATTGTTACTGTATTGTCTCCTTCCATAATGTAAAGCACTGAGCAAACTGTTGGCACTATATAAGTCCTGTATAATAATAATAATGTAGCAAGCAATTGTGATGGGCAAAATGTAACCCATATCAGCCAATCAAATATCAGTTTACTGAAGCCTGAACCTGAAAAGGGGCATATTAACAGGTTAATAGGTAATGAACTTTACTTATTGGATTAATGAATAAATCTTCTAATGTTTGTTGCACAAAGCAGTATATACAGTATCATGAATTTGGACTGTTGGTTCATATTGAGGGGCTTGTTTAAACCATCCGCTTTGAACTACGTTCATCTGCACCGACCAATGCACAGGCTCAACACTAGGGCACATAGAAATAGTTTTCTATGACGTTGTGAGGTGCACTGTGCTGCATAAAAACTTCAATGTAAACAATGTGATACGTTCTAACAACATGTTACATCATGGCTCCCTGCCCCAGCACAACGTACACCAGCCTGCGACGTCTTAGCTTGTGGGCTTGTATGAATAAGCTCTGAGAGATCATTGAACATAAAGTTTCCAGCTGTTCAACGTAACAGAACCTTTATTAAAGTGTTACTAAACCCAGGACCCAGCATTCACTATATCTGGTCTCCCACAGTACACAAAACATGGAAATGCAATTATTTTAGTAAATATAAACTGCTAAATACCTTTTCCCATCAGCAGTTAGAGCAGTCTTGTGACTTCTATCAGTGTCCAGTAGAGCACTGGTTAAAGCTTGTAGGAGTTTTTCTTCTCCTCTGATTGTTCTATGAGGCTGAATAACCCCTGACCCTCTGTCTGGACAGTGTTAATTGGCCCTGTGCTGATCACCTGCACCCTCATAAGAGGAAAAAAAAAAACAACTCTAGCAATACACGCCAAACTGAGCATGTGCAGCTTGCCCCCAAGGCTCTGTTCTATCAGCAGATGGATTGGGGACCTTAGAAGAAAGAGAGGATCAAACAGCCTTTTTACACAATGCAGAGGATTAACCCCTTAGGTTCCACAGTGAGTAGAACAAGCATGTTTTACTACATATACAGACTGATTTTACTGTTGTGGCTTTAGTAACAATTCCTATTCCTAGAAAAATATTATCAAGATCCACAACTTAATTAAAATGTATATGAGAAATGTTTACTCGTGGAAAAAATAAAACTTTTCATTGGATAGTAAAATTTTGAAACAAGAACAAAAAGTAGGCACACAGATACCTGCTCATACCTTTCCTCTTCTCAAGCACACCAGTACCAGCGATACGTTCCGGCGTGTCAGACTTGTATCCAAACACACGTGTGCGATCCCGCCAGGAAGCTGTCACTTGTACTTGCCCAATCATCTGCACCCGAGGCATTTCCCACTGTGCAGCTGCACATATACACTCCCCTTGTATTTGTGCCGCTTCACGGCAGGGAATGCCTCACCTGCAGATGATTGGTCCGGTACAGGTGACAGTTACATGGCGGGCTCGCACACGTGTGCTTGGATACAAGTCTGACACACCTGAGCTCATCACTAAAGAGGACCCCCAAAAACCAAGGGTGTGCTCTGACATGTAGAATGAAACCTCAATAGCTTACCCACTCCCTTCCACTTCTCCCACTTTAAATGCTTAGATAAAAGAAGGAACGGCACAAGCACTCAACCCTTGAGAATAATAGAAGAGCTCTGCCAGTCTGCAGATTACCATATTAACGCTGAACACTTGTGAATGATTATTAGGAAAATAAAGCATTACAAGCTGGGTTTCAGGAGTTCTTTCTTTTGTTAACACTTGAATGCTGCAACAAGGAAGATCTTTCACTTGAAATGGATTGTGCAAGAGCAGGCCTGATGAAAGGAGTGCATGACTCCCAAAACTAATTGGCGTCTAGTGCGCCTAGTTGTTTCTCATTTAAAGGTGACAGGCAGCACAGCAGAGTAAACGAGAGAGGAAGCCAGCTATTAACTTTCCTTCTTTAGGTCTGTAATTATATATCACAGCACACTGCACTCTAAAGAATGGTGATTCCATGCAAAAAAAAAAAAAATGTAAGCAGAACTTCACCTAGAAGTGGAAGTTCTGTTTTTACACCTTCCCCCCCACCACCAGTTTTGGAAAAAAATTTTTTTGGGGGTGATGGATAGTTTTGATAGGTACCCACACCCACTTTCACTTTGAGTGAAAGTTCAGCCCCCCATCTCTTTGCCCCCAGGCTTCTGGGACATGTCACAGGTTCTGTGAGGCTGCAGGACCATTCACAAAGTGCAGTGTGGCTCGTGCACGCAGAGTGGGAAGCTGGGTGTGAACTCACAAGGAGTCACAGTAAACATGATGGTGCCGGGGACCCAAAGACCGGTGAAGAACTGGCCCGGATGAAGACAGCGCTGGATCCCTGGACAGGTAAGTATCTTTTTATTAAAAGTCAGCAACTGTAGTATTTGAAGCTGCTGACTTTGAATTTTTATTGGGTGGGGGCTGAAAATCCTCTTTAAGGACATATATTTTTTATAAATCAAACATTTGATGTGAAACCCTTCTGAGATAACAATACAAACTGAATCAATGTCATAGTCCTATAATCATTTAACAGAAAGCTTTGCTCTGCCATTGAACTTACAGATTTGTGCCTGTGGACTGTAGAATAGTGGAACTGTTGGGATTGACAGTAAGTATAGTACTTTCCTCAATTGGTCCTATTCCTCTTTCTTGATAAACAAAGTTCCTGTCAAATGAACTGTAAAGAAACAAAAATGGGAAAGACAATATATAAAGACAATATAGGACATCATATTGGTGATTTTAACACTTATGTAAAACATCATAAGCAGCAATACTGAGAAAATTCATTGCTATTGTCCAGCAGAACACAAAGAAAACTATACGGGTTTTGGGTCAATTTAAATTATTTCTAATAGGCAAAAATTTTTTTTTTAAGTTTTGGACAGAGTGTAGAGGGATTAGAACACCTGTTAGTTTTTATTGCTGTCTGTGCCCGTTAGGGAGATTTGTCCTTTTTAATGTTATCACTGAAAGTGAAAGAAAATCCAAAATTTTGGGTTGTCCTCAGAACAGGAATTGAGGAAAAATCTTCCAGTGGGGACACTAGTTCTGGTGATAACCAGGGATTCTCTCACTTTTGAGGGATTTCCTCTCACTTGTTGTGGCTATGGGATAAAAGGAAAGAGAAGAAAGCAAGGGAAGATGATAGAAAATTGATGATAGAAAAGTGTGTACTGTGCATTGTGGTGTGCTGGGAAAAATAGGTCATGTCTGATCTTGTCTGCATTTCAGTGTGTTGTCAGCTGTGCACCATGTATGGGATGACCTATTACAACACTTTAAATTGCAACATAATGCATGTTGACAAAAGTTCTGTAACGCATCAGATCACTGCAATAAAGCGTGAATGTGTCTCTCTCTCTCTCTATATATGTGTGTGTGTGTGTGTGTGTGTGTGTTCCGATTAAAAGATTAAAAGGTGTGACAGATTTGATAAAAACAGTTATTTTACATATAAACACTAGAGGGCAGACAAGTCCAAACAATAAAGGAAAGCTAGCAATACATACACACAATGATTCACTGACAGTAACAATCCGGAACTGAAAGAATTAGGTAGCCGCTACTACTGACCACCTTGGTGTCCATGGATTCAATGTACATTCACTGACTCAAACAAGCATGCCGATGAGGAATTTGGACTTCACTGGCTACATAATTGTTTTAGGTAATATTGAAGCCAGAGAAAAACAAAGAACTTGCATATTTAGAGGTGGATCAGCAATGGCAGCCTACATACATCTATCATCCTTACAGGCTTCCTTCAAAGGGCATTTGTCACTCAGGAGCCTCATACTAGCTGTGGCGCAGAGAAGCTGAATCTAGTTAGTTTCACTGCAAGTGAAGTATATGCCTGAGATCTATACATAGTGCAGGATATAGAAATAGATGGTTTCAGCAAGACTTCCTAGACAACAGGGCCGAATCTAGCCTATCTAATCTGGGGGTGCACTAAAAAGAAAAATTTTAGATTAGGGTGCTAAAAACAGAACCAGTGAGAACGTTTATCAGATATCTCTATCAGAGTCCCCCTTTACATCAGGAGTCCTCAGCAGAGTCCCCCTTACATCAATGTTCCCATCACAGTGCGTCTTTATATCAAATGTCTCCATCAGAGCTTCCCCTTAATCGTTGTCTCCATCCAAGTGCCCCCTTACATATGATTAGTTATCCCCATCAGAGTGCCCCCTTACATCAGCTATCCCCATCAGAGTGCCCCCTTCATCAGTTCTCCCTATTAGAGTTGCCCCCTTACATGGATTGTCCCCGTCAGAATGCCTCCTTATCAGGGGCAGACTGACCATTCGAGCACTCGGGCACTGTCCGAGGGCCCGGGGTCAGTAGGGGGCCCCATGAGATGCCCATGATACCTTTAATAGGCTTTTTTGGGTGTGGTTTGAGTGTTGGCGAATACACGGGCCCCATGATTTCCTATTGCCAGGGGGCCCCATGAGTTGTCAGTCCGCCCTGCTCCTTATATCAACTAACTTCAGCAGACTGGCTCATGGTTCAGTTAATGCAATGTCAGACGGGGGGGGGGGCAGCATAACTAAAATCTGGGGGGGGGGGGGGGCAGCCCACTCCAGCCCCCAGCACCCCCCTAGATCTGGCTCTGCTAGACAAGTTGTGCTTTGGACAACCAAAGTGATTTCCATGTAAAACCCCTAACATACTATCTTTAAAGATACTGTGCTAGAGGTTTTTCATGGAATGACTAACACTTTAGCTCAGCTAAGACTTTTGCTCTCCTAAAACTCAGAATCAGTTGATAGCTGGCTATTTCTCACTATCAGCTGATGTGGCAGAGCAGCTCCAGGCTCTGGAAGATCCTGACCATATTGTTGGGACCCTCCCAAATGCTTGATTGACAGCTGGCTCCACCTCTTAGCCTGTGGCTGACAGCTTGAGCCAGATAGGCCTGCCTCCTCCTCTTCCTGTCTCTTCAATGAGCGCTGGAGGAGCAAAGCAGAGAAAGGTGATTGAGATTCACTATTCTCTGCTCCCCGGAGACCAAGAACCAAGTAATCAGAGATCATGTGATCACTTTTTTTTTTTTTTTACAAACCGCAAACTTCTCCTTTACTTTCTAACCACTTCCAGCAGCCAATTGAAGCAATTACTGAGTAAGCAGCTTCTTTATCTTTTAATCTTTGTCTGCGTACCTGTTTAGGCTGATGCCATAACCACTCTCCCTAGTTTTCAGGGTGGCTCTTTTCTCTTGCAGCATCCTATGGTGCCACCCTGGCATGCAAGGATTACAGTAAAATATCTCTACACTGTGTGCATCAATAGAAACACAGCCTCAAAACGTAGGATGACACAGAACTTCCCTGCCCCTTCCTTCTCTTCCTTGTTAACTTTTTCCTGGGAAGCCCAGAAGTTCAGGGAAGCAACACTAGGAGCAACAGGAGCCAGCAGCATGGAGTTGTAAACTAAGTGTGGGGTAAGCATTTTAACAAACAGTATACTGGAGAATGTTTATTTTATTGTTATCAATGTGTTCGGCTAGAGGGTTTGATACAGTGCTTCGAAAAAGTATTCATACCCCTTGTTTATCTCTGACCTGTCTGGTGTGTTCCTTGGCTTTCATGATGCTGTTTGTTCACTAATGGTCTCTAAACAAACCTCTGAGGGCTTCACAGAACAGCTGTATTTATACTGAAATTACATTACACACAGGTGGACTCTCTAATTAGGTGACTTCTGAAGGCAATTGGTTCCACTAGATTTTAGTTAGGGGTATCAGAGTAAAAGGGGGCTGAATACAAATGCACGCCACACTTTGCAGATATTTATTTGTAAAAAAATCTTGAAAACTATTTTTCATTTTCCTTCCACTTCACAATTATGTGCCACTTTGTGTTGGTCTATCACATAAAATCCCAATAAAATATATTTACATTTTTGGGTGTAAAATGACAAAATGTGGAAAATTTCAAAGGGTATGAATACTTTTTCAAGGCACTGTGCTTCTTTAAGCAACTAATTAGATTTCAGCACTCATTTTTGAGCAGCCAGAGAATGCTCCCAAGATACAGAAATATGCATGATGCCCTAAGGCACGGGTGTCAAACTGGCATCCCTCCAGCTGTTGCCAAACTACAAGTCCCATGAGGCATTGCAAGATTGACAGCTACAAGCATGACTCCCAAAAGTAGAGGCATGATGGGACTTGTAGTTTTGCAACAGCTGGAGGGCCACCAGTTTGACACCCCAGCCCTAAGGTGACCAGTGTCTTCAACAGGAATTACTGCTGCTAGATCAGTATTCCTGATGAAATGCAGGTGAAATGAGCCAGAGGTACGTAAAGTAGCAGCATGACAACAAAAAGGGGTAGCTTTCTTAAAGCTGAAGTTTACTTATGCACATTTTCACATTGGTCCAGCTTAGGTCAATGTAAGTATGTATGCGCCATGTTTGTGGGATCCCCCTGGAAGCTGGAAATAACTGTGGTAGATACTGCTATTACAGAGATTACCACTAGATTCTGGGTGCCGTGCTGCGTTGTGCTAGGAGGTTGTTCACTCAGCACAGGCGCCATTCAGAGAACACTTTTTTATTTACTCAATGAATGCAAAGTTTTCTCTGATTGGACGAGGTGGAGATCATGACGTCACCGCCTTGCTTCTCCACCTTGTCCAGCCAGAGATCACTTTGCATTCGCTGAGAAAATGTTCTCTGAATGGTGACTGTGACGAGTGAACAACACCCTGGCACAACGCAGCAAGGCAATCACTTAGCATAGGGGCAGGAGCTAGCAGAGATCACTGGAGTAGTGATGTTTACTACAGGGATTTTAAAGTGGTTCTAAAGGCTCAAGGTTTTTTAGAATGGCCTTCTGTGTCTAGCAACCCCCTAACATTTACCTGAGCCCCCTCTTGATCCAGCAATGTCCACGAGAGCCTCTGTTCTCCGGGCACTCTCACCCCTGATTGGCTGAGACAATGGTGGGAGCCATAGGCTCCCGCTGCTGTCAATCACAGCCAGTGAGCCAATCAGGAGAGGGAAGGAACGGTGCGGAGCTCCGTCTCTGTGTGAGTGGACACGCATGGCTATGGCTTGGGAGAGCACCTGTTCTGGTGCCCCCATAGCAAGTTGCTTGCTGCGGGGGCACCCAACAAGAGGGAGGAGCCAGGAGAGCTGGCGGAGACCGGAGAAGAGGAAGATCCAGGTTGCTCTGTGCAAAACCACTGCACAGAGCAGGTAAGCATGACATGTTTGTTATTAAAAAAAAGAAATGAAATAAGACTTTAGTATCATTTTAAGTTTCTAGATTGATCACACAGGTATGGTTTATAGGCTAGGCCAATGTACTTATGTACAAATTGCCATACCTGGAATTCAGCTGCACAGTTCATTTTTCTAAAACAAACTCATGTCATGCTACATCACAACTGACATGTATATATGTAACAACATCTCTGTTCTCCAAATATCAAAATTATTTGCATTACTACTCCCTGGTACACAGTTGCATTTATTTTACAGGTGTGCAATAAATAATCAATTTAACAACACTGCTTTCTAAATGATATTTTATCCATGACCGCTTTCATATATCTGCGACACAATGTTATGATAGGTATGAAGGTGATCTCAGACTCAAATGACATCTTGCAGACTCCCATTGAATGCCAGCAATGTTCCTTTAGTGCAAGGTACCGTACATTACAGATGTGACCTTTAAAAGGATTGTCAATACATTTTGTAGGAGGTTGTCATTTAGCAAAGAGTAATACAAATGCATGAATAAGTCGTAAAATGCTTCAACAGACAGAAATGTCTTCACAGCTGCTAATTACTGATCTTGTCCTCTTTAAAAGCTGACCTCCAGGTAGATATTAATGGTACCAATCAATACACCGATGTACTCATTTTGATATCATTAAATGCGTTTTTCACAGCTCAAGTATCTGCATTTGACTTTGTGTCAGCCTCTTGTAATCCCCTGCACAAAAGAAATGCATTTCTACCAATCAGGTGTGCTGGAGCACATGTGTGCTAACAGTAGGGGAGAGAAGAGTTAGCAGAAGGACAAGCTTATCAGTCTGCTGCTGCTTTTTCAGTGTCCATCACAGGCTAGAAAGAAGAGGGACCAAATTGTCTGTTGATCAACTGCAGCAGAAAAAAGTAAGGTCATCAGCCTTGATGTGCTATCTGGCAGAGCTGTGTAAATATCAGGACTGGATGGAAAAATACAAATCCTTTGGCAGGTAAAACAGCTATCATATATGTACCATATGTACAATACATGTAACTGTGTGTTTGACTGTCTGCTTGGGGTTCGGCAATAAAGCACATACAAGGTTTAGCCAGTATCTAGTGATGCAGCCTATCAATTCAGCAGAGACCAAGACCATTTACGTATATCCTGATTTCTCATTTACACCTATTAAATCTCCTGCGGACTCATCTTTAACAATTCTCACCTTCTTGCATTCTTCTAAAATTGTTCTTTTTAAATGTACCCACCGATCTGCTGTCGAAACTAACTGAATATTTCCTGCTAATACCTTGAACTGTCAGCTATCTTTAATGTAGTGGTCCTATTATCTTACCTGATCTCTCTGTTCCATCCGGGTAAATGACCCTAAACTTAGCAAAGTTCATTTATTTTAAACAGCCCATCCACTCATATTGTGCCTCAAAGATCAGTACTTGGTGCACACTCAATGTATGCGACAGCCCGGGGGAAATTAAATTGTGGCGACCACTTCAATTATCCTCTGTACGTTAATGGCACTCCAATGTACATTTGTGCAGGTGAACTCATGCCCTCTCTGCTGACTAAGGCCTCTTACACAAAGGCATTTACAGCTGCATAAAGACAGATTTTAAACTGTGGAAAAGGCATTGTAAAGTAAAATAAGTGGCTTCAAATGGTGCAGTTTCCAAGTTTATGTACTTCCTCACTACCCTTAACATTCAGGTTTTATACCTGTATTTTCTCTTTTTGCTAGTTTGAATGTAAGTAAATACAATGTGCCAAATGTATTTAAAAACATAACTACAAAAGTAATGTCTTTAGAAGTTTAAGGCCTCGTTCACATGGGAAATGCATGAATCCGTGTGCCGTGTATACCCACTAGTGTTCTGTGCATTCCCAGGCAAGCAATCCTACAGCTGACATTTAGAACGCATCAGTTGCACTGACACAGCCGATGCTCCCATTGTGACATTAGTGCAGGTGTGGGTGCACAGCCCTGGGGCCATGCATCCGCATCGATGTCACATTGGGAGCATCGTCTGTGTCCACACAGCCACTGCATCCCAAATGGCAGCTATAGGATTGCTAGCATGGAACACCTGCACGTTCCTCACAAGAGGCACAGATTGATATTCCCCATGTGAATGTTAACGTGTCATGTGAAAGTTAAACAACATTCACCTCCTCCAAGCTTTCACCATTAATAGTCTCCATCCACATTTTTTGTAAAGTGTAGAACATCTCTGCACATTTTTCCATGTTTTATCTCTTAAACAATGCTGCAAATATGCAAAAAATACCTGTTGATCCTGCCTTAAATTCTATGAGTTTCCACTAAAATCCCAGGCAGTGTTAACAGGCCTGCCAAGTTCTTTTCTGTGAACTACAGAACACTTCTCCTTACCGTAGCCTCCCTAGCGGTCTGATCATGTCAGTATTTCTGTGCTCAAAGCGGTACATTTTTTTTGCCTAGTAATATGTAGTTTTTTTATTGTAGGCCTGTAATTTTTAGGAATAACTCACTGAAATCTGTCCAAACAAGAGTCTAGTAAACATCCCGGGTATGTTAAAATTTGAAACACAAAATCATAAATTATTATTTAATAAATAATCATAAATAATAATATAATAATAAATTTAATTCAATAATATAATCAAACCAAAAACACTGAAATTTGAAATATAGCGCCAAGTTCGCACATCACTGAGCAAAGTTGCAAAATCATTTTCAGTGTCTGATGACTAATTTCCCCACGAATCATTATCACTCAATTCTGTAATTAGTTCAAATTTACTATCGCTGTTCTCTAGCCGGTCTAAAACCGCTTTTGACCTAAAGGGACGCTTTTTGGATGCCATGGACATTTCTCAGTTTCCAGGCAGAAAGAACAGTAAAAATGCAGGCAGGGCACAGGACAAAGCATTAGGGACAAAATGTATGTGAAATGGTTTGATACAGGAATGTTATACTATGTGATTTTAGTGTATTTAGTGAATGTCACTTTTTCAAATTTCCCGCCAGTTCCATCCCCGTACGTCCTGACATCGCAGGGGACGGAATCCAGAAGACGGATGCCGGCATCAGCTGGAGGACATGGCCGGGGACACTGCAGGGGGGACATCGCGGGAGTGCAGAACAAGGTAAGTGAAGATCCCGGAGCAACGCTGCAGGGTATTCCCGAGTGTAGCTCAGGGTTACAAAAACTGTAGCTGCTGACTTTTAAAAAAACAGCCATTCACCTGTCCTACGATCTAGCGTTTTGTTCACACCAGCCGAGTCCTCAGGCGTCCTCTCTCCCCGGCGCGGCATCTTAAGTGTGGGCACCCGGCCATGACAGCTTGCGGTTTTCACTGCACACATGCACACATGCAAGTAGCACTGTGCATTATGAATGGTCCTGTAGTCTTCTGGGACCTGTCACATGTCCCAGAAGACTATGGGGAGGGAGGAGAACTTCTGCTTTCGATCGCCTAGGCCCAGAGGTGGACCAGGGGACCATGGGACCCGTGAGGCCTAGGTCCACCTAGGCCTCACGGGGACCAGTCCTTAAAGCAGAACTACCCTTTTGGGTGGAGTACCACTTTAAAGTAGAACTTTAGGCAAAAATGTTTTTTCCTCCATTTTGGGTAGAGTAAGGGAGGGTTATAACACAGTCAGTTTTTGCCATCTGTGTTCCATTGGGGAGATTTACCTTCACTTCATAGCCAAAACCAGAAGTGAGAGGAAATCCCTGGAAGTTAAAGTGATGCCAAATATAAATGTTTTATTTTTTTTTTAAATAACAAAAACATACAATACATACCTGCTCTGTACAATTATTTTGCGCAGAGCAGCCTCAATTCTCCCTGCTTTCTATGGGGGCACTTGTGTGAGGGCTTGTTCTTAAACTGGCTCTGTGTGTCCATTGACACACAGAGACAGCTTGGCCCACACCGCTCTCTCCTCACTGGCTGTGATTGACAGAAGTTGGAGCCAAGGGCTCCCACTACTCCCACTACTGTCTCTGAGCCAATGGGGAGAGAGAGAGCCAAGAGAGCATCTGAGTCTCTGGATTGAGATCAGAGTCTGGTAAATATCAGGGGCTGGGGGGCGAGCTGTATGCAAACCATCTGCCTTTACAACCTCTTTAAAGGGAATCCCTTGATGCCCCCTCAGGTCACCAGAATTAGCGTCCTTGTTGGAAGTTTTTCCCTCTATTACTTTTCTGGGTACAACCCAAAATGTGGGAGAAGGTGAATCTTCCTAATGGCGGTACAGACAGCAATTGAAACTGGTGTTCTAATCCTTCTCCACTCTATCCAAAAATAAACAAAAATGTTGGCTTTAGTTATACTTTAAGGAGATGCCCTGTAGTCCTACGACACTCCATGACCTGGAATGACAATGCTATTCCTTAAAAGATGCAGTACTATGCATAAGGGTTGTCACCTTGGACAGAATGTGTGTTACTGGCAAGAATATTAAATGAAAATTAAGGGGAAAAAAATCCTAAAAAAATAAAATCCATCCACTATATCTGATAGTTTGCTACTGGAAAGCTGAAATATACAGTATAACAATTTTCTCCTAGGGTTTACATACACTATTAACAACAGTTCTCTAAATATTTCTATACTTAGATTCTCTACAGATGAGAAAATTATTATCTCTCTGAACTCCAAGACAAGAGGGAAGCTGTGGGTGGTGACAGTGGAACTTATGGGGGACTTACATGGAGACAAATGTCTCCATGGAAATTACACCTAAACCAGCTGCCTTATCTTCCTATGTTTCTACCTACAAGGTTGGACAAAATTATGGAAACACCATGTAAAAGAACAAAATTGTTACCAAATATGGTGTTGGACTGCCTTTGGCATCCAAGATGGCATGATTTCTCCTGGGAATTGACAAATATACCGTATTTGGATAAAGTGTTTGGGTGTAGATACATTTTAGGTTTACCAGTAACAACATTGATCACAGAATCATTTCTAGGCAAAAAAGAAACTCCTTAAACTGTAAGATTTTTTTTTTAAGAAGATGTCAAAACTATATTGACTTATGCACCAAAATGCCATCTGCTCGCTTAGTAAAATGGTGACATCATTTGACCAACCAGTTGGTTTCATGCCAAAAATAAACAACTTAACTTAAGACCATTTATATACCTGCTATATGCTATGCTTGTGATAATACATGTGATTTGTAATATAATGGTACTTACTTTTCATCCCATATATGATTGCCTCTGTGAAATATAACCAAGTTATTGTTGGGGTCCAGTGCCAGCCCTGACACTTGCCCTAGATGGAGTTTGAGCCCAGGCCACTCAATAACTTCCTCTAAATGTGCATCTAAATGGGAAAAAAAGAGGAAACATAAAAAGATATCGGCCACAAAACAATGACACCTAATGGCAGTGTGCTGGTTTATCCTGACTGGGCAAAACATGGCAAATTAAAACAGGCAGGCCATGACACACATAAAATACCCATGAAAAATATAAAGAATATAAAAATGTACGTTATTGAGAGAACACATAGTTAAACAGCCAGCAAATCTAAAAGAACTAGATTTTTTTTTTAACTCACTGTTCTGTCCCCCCCAATGGGACAAAGTATAGGAAGTCCCTTATCCCATGTTACCATGTTGTTTCGACACAGCTAGGAAGGAGATGGATGCTTTTTAACGACCACTTGTCTCGGCTCCGAGCACTAATCCAAAACAAGCGGCAGCAAAAGGAATGAAAAGTGCTAGGAATTTAAAGGGTTAGTTCACCTGTTTCATAAAAAAGCCCATGCAGGCAAGGGCAAGCTTATTTAGGTTGCATACATGTGGGTCATGTTAGCCCTCTGAAGCTGGTCAAAACAACTCCTAATGGCAGCTCTTGCCCCACGCTGTCATGATCCTAGGATTCTACAGCCATTGGATGCTCGCCTTTCAAAGTAATTGTGCACATCCAATGTTATAAACACCTTCTAATACTGTTATAACTATGCAGTCACCCTAACTACTTTTGTTTACTTTCAGAAATTAGATTTTTTAGCTTTTTTTTTGCAAGGTTAAGTTCTGTCATGTGATCATGCAACTTTTCTTCCTTATAACAGGGAGTGGGGTTACAGGACACTTTGCTGACACACATTGTGCTAGCATTCCATAGTCTGTTCAGCCTGAAGCAAGAGGCAGGAAGTGATTGGGAGGGGGGGTGTGCCAGAGGCAGGCAGTGATTGGGAGGGGGTGTGTGCCAGAGGCAGGCTGTGATTGGAAGGGGGTGTGCGCCAAAGGCAGGCTGTGATTGGAAGGGGGTGTGTGCCAAAGGCAGGTTGTGACTGGGAGGGGGTGTGTGCCACAGCCAGGCCGTGATTGGGAGGGGGTGTGTGCCAGAGGCAGGTTGTGACTGGGAGGGGGTGTGTGCCAGAGGCAGGTTGTGATTGGGAGGGGGTGTGTGCCAAAGGCAGGCTATGATTGGTTGGTTGAACAAACTACCCAATACAGGCATGCTGTGTATCTGCACAGTGTCTTGCATCTTTGAATGTCAAGCCAAAGGATGAAAACTGAGAATGCAATCACAGATCAGCTTCTGTGTTTGGTGTAGTCAGTTTAGAACATGGAAGGAAGATGACTGGCAGGATCAACCAGGTACTTAAGATGGAAGTAGTACTTAAAAATGATAGATTCTATGATTTATAAAATACACATACTGTATGTGAACACACACACTGTAAAAAAAATATTTAGGGTAACACACTTTAAGCTGGGTACACACTAGTAGCTTTTGGAACAAAAATTAAGAGCGTTCATTCGATTTTGTAATTGTTAGTGGGGTGAAACTGACATACACTATATTGCCAAAAGTATTGGGACACCCCTCTAAATCATTGAATTCAGGTGTTCCAATCACCTCCATGGCCACACGTGTATAAAAAATCATCACCTAAGCATGCAGACTGCTTCTACAAACATTTATGAAAGAATGGGTCACTCTCAGGATCTCAGTGAATTCAAGCGTGGTACCGTGATAGGTTGCCACCTGTGCAATAAGTCCATCCATTAAATGTCCTTGCTACTAAATATTCCACGGTCAACTGTTAGTGGTATTACACCAAAGAGGAAGTAACTGGGAACAACAGCAACTCAGCCACCAAGTGGTAGGCCACATAAAATGACAGAGCGGGGTCAGCGCACAGTGCGCAGAAGCCACCAACTGTCTGCAGAGTCAATAGCTAAAGACCTCCAAACTTCATGTGCCCTTTATATTAGCACAACAACAGTGTGTAGAGAACTTCACGGAATGGGTGTCCATGGCCGAGCAGCTGCATCCAAGTCTTACGTCACCAAGTGCACTGCAAAACGTTAGATGTGGCGGTTGAAAGTACACCTCCACTGGACTCTAGAGCAGTACAGACATGTTCCCTGGAGTGACGAATCACGCTTCTCTGTCTGACAAGCCGATGGATGTGTCTGGGTGTGGCTGTTGCCAGGACTACAGTACTTTCCTGACTGCATTGTGCCTGGTGTAAAGTTTGGTGGAGGGGGGATTATGGTGTGGGGTTGTTTTTCAGGAGTTGGGCTTGACCTCTTAGTTCCAGTGAAGGGACTCTTAAGGCATCAGCATACCAAGACATTTTGGACAATTTCATGCTCCCAAATTTGTGGGAACAGTTTGGGGATGACCCCTTCCTGTTCCAACATGACTGCGCACCAGTGCAAGAAGCAAGGTCCATAAAGACATGGCTGAACGAGTTTGGGGTGGGGGAACTTGACAGAGCGGAGACTGTGTGAATTAGAGCGGAGACTGCGAGCCAGGCCTTCTTGTCCGACATCAGTGCCTGACCTCACAAATGCACTTCTGGAAGAACGGTCAAAACATTCGCATAGAAACACTCCTAATTCTTGTGAACAGCCTTCCCAGAAGAGCTAAAGCTGTTATAGCAGCAAAGGGTGGGCCAACTCCGTATTGAACCCTACGGACTAATACTGGGATGCCATTAAAGTTCATGTGTGTGTAAAGGCAGACGTCCGAATACTTTTAGCAATATAATGTATGCTTTTGACCATAGTGATGAGAAAATTCAAAGGATCAGGATGGGAAATGTTTTTCAAGCGATTGTTTTTCTAACAGTGTATGTGGTTTAATTCTGGAAATTACCTTCAGTGCAAAATCAAATACTAAAATCCAAATGAAATTTCAAATGACATTTGTCAAGCTGTACAATGTACTTAGAATTTTCATATGTGCAACGCAACCTGTAGCAGCTCTGGCTGAACTCCATGTTACTGCCCATTCATGCCACAACAAGGTGCACTGCAGCACATACATTTTTGTGCATGAAGGCATGTTGCATTAGGCAGCCTGTTCATATTGATTGAGTTGCCAATGCACCTAAATACACAAAAAAAGAAAAATAGGTCCTACATGATTTTTCCACAATCTGCAGATTGAAATTTTAGGTCCATTGTAGCAGTATTGATATGTCTTGAGGTGTATTTAGCAATGAATGCCAACACACTGCAACACATACAAATTGTGCCGTGTTTTAATGTGCATTTTGATGTAAATGAGACCCAAATGTGCTGTAATTATCTGCAGTGCCATTCATTTTGAACAGCACACCATGCCAGTGCACTAAAGAGAATCACAATGCACAGGTGTGTATATACATGCATTAAAACAAAATTATGTATGCATATGCATCTTTACATGTTTAAAGGCTTCACTGCCATGGCTGTAAAAAAAAAATGCATGGAAAAGTGTTTAAATATAGATCTAAATGCAGCTGCATTGTTCTCATCCTTTTAGATGAGTAACACAGAATCCAAAAATCTGCGTCTAAGAACACTATACGACTTTATATGTATAAGCACGTGTGTGAATTTTGTAAGCGGGTAAATTACTCTAAACAAAGGTGAAAAATAAAATATCATAAAAACAAGTAATGTACGCATATGTGTCTTTATGCTTTTAAACGCATCTATCTATACGCAAGTATTCTACCGATTATTAACCACTTGTCTACTGGGCACTTTAACCCTCATCGTGCCCAGGCCAATTTTCAGCGCTCTCACAGTTTGAATGACAATTGTGCGATCATGCAACACTGTACCCATATGAAATTTTTATCATTTTTTTTCACACAAATAGAGCTTTCTTTTGGTGGTATTTAATCGTGGCTGGGTGTTTTATTTTTTGCACTATAGACAAAAAAAAAGAGCAAAAAAGTTGAAAAACAAAACGTTTTTCTTTGTTTCTATTATAAAATTTTGCAAACTAGTAATTTTTCTCCTTCACTGATGTGCGTTGATAAGGCTGCACTGATGAGGCGGTACTGGTGGACATTGATGAGGAGGCACTGATGATACTGCACAGATATGCAGCAATGATGGGCGACACTGAAGGGCGGCGTTGATTGATGGCACTGATGGGCGGCACTGATCATATGGGCATTGATCATCAGTGCCGATCTGCTCTGTGATATTTGCCGGTTATCGTCAGTACTTTCCTCACGCTGTGACAGTGTGAGGAAAGTGCAGCCGATAACCAGCAAATGTATTTACTTGGTCATCTGCTGTGTCATTGGACACAGCTGATCACGTGGTAAAAGGCCGCTGTGATTGGCCTTTTACTTCATCATGTGATCAGCTGTGTCCTTAGGACACAGCGATCATGGAGAGCGCCAGGTGTGCGCCGCTGGGGGTGCGCTCTGGGAGGACGTCATATGACGCCCTTTCAGAACTGGACAACCTCACTGTAGCCATCATTCGGCTATAGCGCAGTTGTGAAGTTGTTAAGCAGGAACTTTTCTCCTAGAAAACGCATGTAAACATATCAGTTAAGACTTACTTTACATGCTTACAAATGAGTATACATGTGTTTATATGTGTAAGTTTGTAAGGCAAATGTTACCGGCGCAGATCTTTGGATTCTGTGTAATGGATCTGAAAGCAGCTCATGTTTACACACCTGTGTGAATGGCTCAATTGAAAACACTGCAGCTGCATTCAGATCCCTAATTAAAAAACACTTGCATGTGCGTATTTTAATAACCATGTGAATGAGGCTTCAATCCATTATCAAGAAAGGGGAATTTTTCTTCTTATTTAATGCAACCAGACCACCCTTTATTTTACCTATACTATGGCAGAGACGTGACAGGTGAATATAATTGATCGCTATAATCAACACAAACATTTTTTAGATGCTTTCATTTATTAGGCCACTTGTTGAAACATTTTTAAATATATGTCAACTTATACCATGCAATCTATGATTTTACATACAAGCCTAAAGCTATTCAGTCTAATCTGAATTAAAATGCACCATCAATGATCAATGCCTAAAATCTGGACAGGTTTCCAATCCACCAAGTGAAGAAGATATAGTATATGCCCCCGTGGCACCAATGGCACATATTGAACACCTAATGAGAAATGTGAAGACATGATAATTAGAATGACCTACTAATTTGAGTGACCAGGTGGTTATTACAAAATTTTAAAGCTTTCAACTATAAATCACAAAGCTGCGAGACGAGTGCCAAGCGAGCTGGAAGAAAGTGTTAAAACATGACTGCTGTACTATTCATCGCCCTGTGAGTGCCGCATGAGCCAGTTATCACTGCTATATTGGTGTCTGATAAATTAGTTCACACCGTAATTATCTGCTCTCACTGCCAATTGTTCTGTCATGCCAAATAATTATACTGCACAGAATTCTTTGTTTGTTCTCACCAACAAAGGAATATCAGTAAAATACCAACAGATAGACTAGAAAAGGTCATTCAGAAACTGTTTCTTTGTCCTTCAGAACTTAAAAGCAGTTCCATATCATTTAATTCACATACCCCATTTGAATAAACAGTGATTAAAAAACTATTTTGTAAATGAAACGAGCATAAATTCTTAAAGCGCAACTCCAGGAATTGTATAAATTATCCACTGCAGTGGGGCTGTGCCTTCACTGTAAGGGTTAAAGTGTTACTAAACCCAGGACCCTGCATTCACTATATCTGGTCTCTCACAGTACACACAACATGGAAATGCAATTATTTTAGTAAATATAAACTGCTAAATAACTTTCCTCATCAGCAGTTAGAGCAGTTTTGTAACTTCTATCAGTGTTCAGCAGAACACTGGTTAAAGCTTGTAGGAGTTTTCATTCTCCCCAGATTGTCCTATGAGGCTGCAGGACCCCTGACCCTCTGTCTGGACAGTGCTGACTGGCCCTGTGCTGATCACATGCACTCCCATGTAAAAAAAGAAAAAATTCTCTAGCAATACAGACCAAACTGAGCATGTGCAGCTTGCCCCCAAAGCTCTATTTTATCAGCAGATGGATTGGGGACAGTAGAAGGGGAGGATCAGAAAAGACAGGATCAAACATCCTTTTTACGTAATGCAGAGGATTAACCCCTTAGGTTCCACAGTGAGTAGAACAAGCATGTTTTACTGCATATACAGACTGATATTACTGTTGTGGGTTTAGTAACACTTTAATTGCTCATTTAGGTCTAGGGGAGAGTAAAAGCACTTTAACTTACCCACACCTCTGGTCCCTCATGTGCCAGCAGTGGAATGTCCCTCGGCGACATCATGCTCAACACAGGGTCAGTTACACTAAACAATATCCTTGTTTCCAAAAATAATCTACAGACATCCACTACTTAATGGCACTATAAATCATTTTCAATATTTTCCCATTGTGTTTTCAGCCTCCTTGTAAAGTCCTCTGTGAGCTTCTGAACCTCTCCCTTTCCTCCTTGCTTCTGTTTGTTTTAGTTGTGGTCATGTGCACAGCTCTATGCACAGTACACATCTCATAGTCTATAGTCCATCTCGGGAGAGAATGGAAGAGAGCGGCTCTATTTCTACATACAAATGTATATAAGATCTAACAGGAAGTCAGATCACAGCAGCAAAATATTTGGAGGTTGACAGCAATAGAAGGTATGTTTTTAAAGCTGAGAATAGAGTTTAATTAAACCAGAGTTTGGACTTTAAAAAAGAAATGCACCCAAAAGGGGAAGTTCTGCTTTCCCGCCTCTACCTCCCCTTCTCTTTAACTTGTGGGCATTTTTTTTTTGGGGTGGGAGCAGATACCTAGTTTTGATAGGTACTTCCAATTGGATCACCTAGGCTTCCCCTCTTTGTCCGCAGCCTCCTGGGACATGTCACAGGTCCCAGAAGGCTGCGGGTCCATTCACATGCATGAGCAGTAGGGGGCCGCCTGTGCAGTCACAGGGAGTCACAACTGGCTTCCCACACTACATCCTGGCATCGTTGGCAAAAAAAACAGCCCAGGTGGGGACAGCGCTGGATCTTTGGACAGGTAAGTGTCCTTTTATTAAAAGTTAGCAGCTACAGTATTTGTAGCTGCTAACTTTTAATTTTTTGGGGGGGCTGAAGAAGATCCTCTTTAGGTGATACCCTTTACTGGCTAACTTAAAGCATAATATCTAAACCTGAAAACAACAATGTATCATAATGCAGCTTACCAATCCTTAGATGTATGTGGTGGCTGCATTCATTTGATTCTTTTCCCAGGCTTTCTTTTATAGTGCGTTGAGCAAAAATGCAGACATGCTGCATTTTTTTTTCTCAACTCATAGCATCCGTAGTGTGTATAAACGCAGGAAACGTCCTTTTGTGGCATTCTAATAAAGCTGCTGAACAAAAAAAAAAAGGGAAAACTTACATTGTAACACCACTCCTCACCACCTCTACACAATGGAAACCGGCCCGCACCTGTATAAGTGCAGGCTGGTGTTAATTAGCACTTACTTCATACAGTTAGGCTAGGTCAGGGGTAGGCAACCTGTGGCTCTCTAGCTGTTGTGGAACTACATTTCCCATGATGCACTGCAACATTACAAAACTGACAGTTACAGCTATGACTTGCAGAGCCAATGATGGAATTTGTAGTTCTGCAACAGCTGGAGAGCCACAGGTTGCCTACCCCTGGGCTAGGTACACATCTGTGCGGGTGGTGCCGCTGCGGATCCGCACAAAAATCTGTGCAGCCACACCACCCGCACAGAGGACTGCAGACAAATTCTAATGGCACGTCACCCGCACTGGAAAACGCAACCGTACTGGTTACCGTGCAGGCTGAACCATCTATGGGTACCTATAGTATTTACTTCTACATTAAAGCGGTATTAAACCCAAAAGCAAAATATTTATTCTATTGCAGCTTACCAATTCTAAGATGTGATGGCTGCATTCATTTTCTTTCTTAGGCTTTCCTTCTTCTATTTACATCTGGTGATTCAGCCAGTAAGTCTGCTTTTCAAAAGAACAAGCTCTGTACCAGAAGTATCAGTTTACAGGGATGGTGTTACTCCCCCCCCCCCCCTCCATTGTCCTGTATCCTTCCCCCACCCCCTGTGATATCTAGAATCATTCTTTTCCTACCTACTTTTCCACATTTAGGTTGGGTCTAGAGGACCTGCCCCCTCACTGGAGACTTTCTGTGCAGGGGAGAGCTTTCCTACCCCCTACTCCTTTAGCTCCCTTGATGTTGGGGGCATATGGATATGAAGGAAGATTAGGTTTGTCACTCTTGTTTCTTGGGAGACTTTGCTACTTAGTTGTCTGCTTCTCTGTATACTGTTTATTTTGACTCCTTTTCCAAAAGTTTTCTTTACAATACTCAAGTACACAGCTCAAGTATGCTATTCCAGATCTAAGCTACATCTCATGATAGAGATCACTTTTTTATGTCCTGTATACAGTACTCTTCCCTGTTTTCTTTTGGGAAGTGGTGATGCAACACCACTACTGTGCAATCTTTGTACTATCCTTGGAAATTCTTCATTGTATTTTCTTGTTTACTCAATAAAACGTTTATGCAAAAAAGGTTTGCAGTATTTGATTATAAATGAGAGGTGGAGTTTGGCCTTTAATTTGTTAGTGGATTTAAATCTGCTAGTACATCCAACACTCCTCTCCACCAGGCTGACAATCCTGCAGTACAAAGGTGCTCTCTGTGCTGCTTCATCCAGAGTGGGGGCACTCTAAACCAAGAGGTGTGTTACTGGCCAGATCAACAGATGAAAACAGAGGGAAAGAAGCCTAAAAAATAAAACTATTGCAGCCACCACATCAAATGATTGGCAAGCAGCAATAGATTACATTTTGGGTTTAAAACCGCTTTACGGTGAAAAAAAAAAGATTCCTTCCCGAACCCCAGTGGCAACTTTACAGAATGACCTGAAACAAAAAGCTAGTATATATTTTGTAAATGTACAGAAATACATGTATGTAACCCTTTGCAATTGGTTCTTTTAGAAAATACATTTAAATTCATTTTGAAAGCCATCTAGTATGTTCTGTATAACCAGCTCCTGTGGAGGAACATTTTGCAGTTTTGCCACTGCTGGCCATATATGTGGTAGAAGATTAAGAGCAAAATAATAAATGTATGGAACTAAACAGTCCAGCAGATCTTGTTTTGATAGTTGAAATTTGGATTGGAATTAATTTCACAGGCACTGTGGTTGTTTTGATCATTTCCACTTCAATTTTGACAGTTTGGTCTTGATAACAGAAATTGATTAAAACTATATATGCCAAAAAGCTGCGGATCCTTCAGTTCTGTGTGATTTTCTTTTTTCCAGTTGATGGAAATATTTTAAAAATTGCACTGTGCATGGCTAGCATTAGAAAAACTCTCAGAGCTAGAGATTCATTCCCTTTTCTTCTTCAGATCCATGGACGCCCCTTTTCCTTTTGGAGTGCCCTAAAAGTAAACAGCATAGCACTAAATATCTTATCACTATTTCTACCAAGTATAGTAGTACTCTTACAGTTTAGATACAGTGCATTTCAACCTTTGCTTCCATTACTTGAAGACAATTACCCATCAGTCATATCTAACCACTTGCCTACCGGGCACTGATACCCCTTCCTGCCCAGGCCAATTTTCAACTTCCAGCGCTGTCACACTTTGAATGACAATTGCGCGGTCATGCAACACTGTACCCATATGAAATTTTTTAGCTTTTGTTTTCACACAAACAGAGCTTTCTTTTGGTGGTATTTAATCGCCTCCGGGTGTTTTATTTTTTGGGCTATAAACAAAAAAAAAGCAAAAAGTTTGAAAAAAAAAAGTTTTTCTTTGTTTCTATTATAAAATTTTGCAAACAGGTAATTTTTCTCCTTCACTGATGTGCATTGATGAGGCTGCACTGATAGGCACTGATGCAGTGATACGAATAGGCAGCACTGATAGGAGGCATTGCTGGGCACAGGTGGGTGGCACTGATCATCAGTACCGATCACTTCTCTGACAATTGCCAGTTATCAGCAGTACTTTCCTCACGCTGTGACAGCATGAGGAAAGTGCAGCCGATAACCGGCAACTGTATTTACCCGGTGATCTGTTAAGTCATTGGACACAGCTGATCACGTGGTAAAAGGGCGCTGTGATTGGCAGTTTACCGTATCACATGTCAAATACAGCAAAAAGTTGCAGCGCTTGAGTATATAATAAAGGGAATTACCATATATATAGCAGAAATAAAAAGAAAAAAAACATTCATTTTATGACATGCACCAGGTCCAACGTTCATAAATTAATGTAAACAATGGTCAGGTAAATAATAAAAGATTCATTCCACTAATCAAAGTGCCTATAGTGATAGGGATGTTAGAGTCATAAGTTTTGGGGGTGTATCCAAGTGACAAGCAAATCCGTGACTTCCGTGATAGGAGAATAGCTGTAAAATGCACTAACCAGATAGCGCAAGTAAACGCGCATTGGAGTATAATGACCTACTCCTGGATACACCCCCAAAACTTATGACTCTAACATCCCTATCACTATAGGCACTTTGATTAGTGGAATGAATCTTTTATTATTTACCTGACCATTGTTTACATTAATTTATGAACGTTGGACCTGGTGCATGTCATAAAATGAATGTTTTTTCTTTTTATTTCTGCTATATATATGGTAATTCACTTTATTATATACTCAAGTGCTGCAACTTTTTGCTGTATTTGACTTTTGATGAATAGGGTATACACGGTTTACCTTTATGCTAGCGGCTTGAATCTGTCAGATCCAGCGCTTGTTCCTTTCCCCATATATTGCATACCGTATCACCCCGTATCACATGATCAGCTGTGTCCGTAGGACACAGCGATCACTGGTGGCGCCCGATGCGCACTGCTGGAGGCGTGCAGGAGGCTAGTTCTGGAATGATGTCCATGAACATCGTCCCATAACTAGACAACCGCGCTGTAGCCGTCTTTTGGCTATAGCGCTGTAGGGAAGTTAAGGCCTCATGCACACCGGGCTTTAAAAAAAACGTAGCCGATGTTTGGCTTTTTTTTTCAACCTGTAAAATCACCTCTATGTAAGCCTGTGTGTCAATGCACACATAGGTGTTTACAGGCATATTCGAAGAGCAGCGTTTACAAGCTGACAAAAATACCCACTTGGTGCATTCAGGACAGGAGCTGAAGAGCAAAAAAAAAAAAATAATAATAAAAAAACCTTTTCTTGATTTGTTTGTAGGAGCCTGGCAAAGTGGAGAGTATGGTTATTTGGGGTTGGTTGGAGTAGTTGTCCCCCACCAGAGTATTATATAATTGCAGTATTTTGTCTGCACATGCATTTAGGTATGTCTAGCACTTGAGTGTTAATGGATTCCATTGGCCAGAATAAATGAATATTCTGGCCAATTAAATTTTTCCGCCAGGAGTTCAGAGGGGTTAAAACAGGGGTGCTCAACCTGTGCCTCTCAGAGCCCTCTGATGTGGCCCTAGACCCTAAACCAAGGAAGTGCACTTCACCTGGGACCTTTCTAGCTGTCGGGGAAGATGAAGAACGATGCCAGCAGAAGCTGGAAGAGGAAAAGAAGATCAGTTAAAAAAAACATACACTGCACTTTTGCAATGGGCATATTAGCACCTATAAAAGGGTTAACAACTACTACTAGGCTACTTTCACACTAATCCATGGGTGCAGAGCTGTGCTCCTGCGGGTTAGCTGCACTGAGCCATAGACTTCTATTATATTCTGCGGGAGAGTGCACCAAAACTCCTGAATGCAGGCATTTTTGGGCGCATCAGGACAGTAAGGCCTCATTCACATTTGCAGTTTGGAGATGGTAAAACCCCATAGTTGGGACATGTTTTTACCACAACCACTGATGTAGTGAAAGGGGTCCTAATGGTGACCCTGCCCCATGCTCCAGGGGGCCCATACAGGAACCCTGTTACATTCTGTTTTACACTTGGACAGGAGGGGATCTGAGAGCAGCATATACAGGAACCAATCATCTCCATTTTTCTACTGCAACCACGAAAAGCCGGCTTCTCTTCCTCTCCCTCCCACCGGCATTTAGTGGCTGCAGCAGGAAACTGTTCATTATGCTATTCAAAAAAAGTTTAAAATTCTGAACCATTTCATTTCATTGTGGCCCGTGACCAGTTACTAAATCACTTTCGTGACCCGAGCTCTTCAAAAGGTTCAGCACCCCTGGGCTAAACAGACACCCTGTGTGCCTCATGTTCTCATTCCCAAATGCTCATTCTTAGCTGCAGCTCATGGGAGCCAATCAAAATCCATCCTGTACTGGTCTGATTTTAGAAGAATAAATTCTGATTGGTTGAAATGTGTTAAAGCAGTGAAAGGCTGTCATCAGATTAACTACTGTAGATATAAGGTGCATAAATACATCTGTAGCTATCTCTAGTAACCCCCTTCACAGCCAAATCTTGGGCCAGTCTAACAAAGCTCTGACACTTCCAGGTAGTGTCAGATCCTGTAGATACCTCCCAGCCCCCACACATTCTTAGTGGCCCGTGAATACAATGAGCTGCCTCACTGGCCTATAGGAATGTGCAGGAAGCAAGAAGTGGTGTGCAAACCAGCATTATCAGGATAGTTGAGGCTTTGATTGTCAGAACAGCCAGGAATGTGTTAAAATCTTACTCCAGGGTTTGCTGAACTTTAAATTGTTCACACTGTTTCTGTCACTAACACATGCAGTGGCTGTGTGCACTGTATAAACTGAGATTCTTAGCCATTCACAGAAAGGACTGTATTTTATGAATGAACACAAGGCTTTCTCTGATTGGCTGGGATGTAGATTGTGACGAACTCAGCCCACTTCTCCACCTCAGCCAATCAGAGGAATCCTTGTATCCATTCATAAAATACAATAGCTTCCCATGATGGGCTGACCAGTGCTCAGCCCAACTGGATTTTGTTTCTGGAGAGGGACAGTAAGTCCCCGTAGCACTACCGTAACACAGCGATGTATATGGTTTGTAGCTGAAACTACATACGCTTTATAAAGAGTACACAACCACTACATGTGTTAGTGAAAGAAATCGTTTGTTTGGACCAATTTGGTCTAAACAAACTATTTAAAGTTCACTAAAACATGGAATTAGGCTTTAAAGCAAGGTAAAACCTTTATTAAATAAAACTTCTTAATTTAGTTTCTTATTTTTGTCTGTTTTTTTATTTCTATAGCATAACTATTTTTGACCAGCCATCCCGATTATATAATTTCATAACTTGTAATTACATTACACATTTATATCATTTCATTTTCTAGCAACACATTAATTTTTCATTTACTGCTCAGTATTCTGTTATTGGTATTGCTTTATTGTTATAAGACTACAAAAAACATTTGCTTTTAATACACAAAAATGAAAAATAAGCTTTTTCACTGCTCACAATAGGCTACACTGAAAGAAACTGATATCTTCTCTCTCTCGAGCCGCAATTTAATTGTCTCCCCCAGTCACCCACCCGAACAAAGACATGCAGCTCCTCAGGAATGAGCACATACTTTGCTTCCCGGCCACAGCAAAACTTAAAAGGAAGAATGTAGCAACTGAATGCATGTACTCCTGCACTGGACTGTGGGCTCCCCGCTATTGGTATCCCCACAGATTAGAGAATGCAGGCCTTGCTGCCCTCAACAGACCAGGGAATTTCAAAAGAAACTGTGTGCGCACAGGGTCTGAAGAAGAGGCGCTTCCTTGAAACGCTTCAGCCGCCAGCTATCCAGAGGCTCCCAGTCCCCCACCAGAACACCCACAGGGGTTCCTGTACCTCTCTGCATCCTTTGTGACATGTTTCCCATGTATATCTGATTTTACATCATTTTATCTTGTATTTTACTTTTTTCAATAAATCCTATTTTTAAAGGTAATGCACTAGGCCTGTGCGATCTTTTTGTTTTCTACACGTAGCAAAACCCCATTGCACTTAGTGGGCAGTACTGCCTCCAAACATGCCCCATTAAAGTTATTGGGGCAACACATGGTAGTTCTGCCTTTTTAGGATTAAAGGAAAAGTTCACTTTCTGAAAAAAGAATAAACGTACATATTTTTGTAGGTAAAAAAGTGAATTCACTATTTTTTTCATAGGAGCCTGCAGAGCATTACACCCCTGATCAGTAGTCAGGTTCCTGCAGAAAGGTCCTCCAGCTTTCTTGCTGGTACCTCTGTAATGCCTGTTTTTTCATCAGACCCCTCGCAGTCCACTGAGAACTACAAACTGTCTGCATTGGTGTCAGTTGGGACTTGTCATTTCTTCATTCACAGATCCCCGTAAATGAATAACAGAGATGTGTGGGCACAGCCACACTGATTTTAACATGTGACAGTGGCTGTGGGGAAGAGAAGCCCCTGACTCCTGTCACAGGAAAAGGGGGGGGGGGGGGGGGGTAGGAGGAGAGGGAGATCTGATTTATAGTTTAAATCAGTTAGGTCTGAGTTCCGGTGTAACCTATCCATTAAAACATGTGGTCTTGAGGTGACATATCACCTACCAGCTGCCTGCTAAGCACCCTCTAAAAAGTTATCCAGTGTGGGATGCTTTTCAGTTTAACAGCAAGGACTGCTGCACATGAGAACAGGCTCTTATTATAGTTATCATCCTATAAAATAAAAAAGAGAAGCATGGCCAAAGGTTTTTTTGGCCATTTTGCTCTCCTGCGACCCAGTCAATGCTTTCTTTGCTGAAGAGACCGAGAACTGAGCGATCAGCGGTCATGTGATCCCTCAGTTCGCAGTCTTAGAGCTGATGTGGAACAGCTACAGCATCAGACCGATGCCGCAGCACAGAGATGAGTATGAATGTTTATTTAGGAAAAAAAAAAAACACACACCTCCTCTTTAATCTTCTTAAAACAGAAATGAACCTCAACTAAAGCTTAGTTTTAAATTAGACGATTAGTCTAATTGTAGTAGATGTAGATGATTGTAGTATCAGAAAAAGAAATTAAAAAAAAAAAAAAAGGCAATTTATTTTCTCTCATGGAGCACCAACAGTGGGCTGGTCCAAAGCCAATCATCACAAATACCCTGGCTTCGGCTCTTAGTGTGAAGCCCTCAACAAGTAAACAAAAGCAAAGTTCAAGCTCTCCAGACTTTACTGACTACATGTCTGCAATCTGATAAAATAATCTGATGGAGCGTGATGGAGCGCCTCCCCCCCACCTTTGATACAGCAGGGTATGTTACTGGAAGGAGCACTGAATCACTGTGGGTTCTACAAGACAGTACAACATTTGAATCACCGGCACTGGAGGCGTTTTGGGAATTTGATTGGGAATCAGGATCCACATGCATAGCAGAATATTCTAGAAGTGCATTTAAACTGTTCGTATGGGCTACTATCTTGGGCTGTGGTGCCTTACACTTTAATGCAGGCCATAGACGGGTCGTTTATCGGGCGAATTTTCATCCGCATGAAAAATCGGCCGATATTCACGCGGTTAGTGGGGCCAGCCCGTCGGCCATTTTTCACGGACCTTCTCATTTATTTTTATCAGTCATGCTGGACATTGGTGGCAGCATCGGCAACAGGGCTGACCGTTTTTTTTCGTTTATCAGCCGACAATTCGGTTGATAAACGGCCCATCTATGGCCTGTATTCCTTGAATGTCTAGACTTTTTGAATGTTTGCCAGCCAAGTAAAAGTGACAAAGCTGTAATTATGGTAATACAGCAAACTGCAGGTGATCTTTGAAAGCTGAAGTTTACCAAAAAAAAAAAAAAAAAAAATCTCTATAGATTTAGTGACCTAACTTAAGCTAGCTATACACTAGCAGATTTTCAATCGAATGTACGAAAATTCTTTGTACATTTGATGACTAAATGAATGTTGTCTGAAAGTACTTCAAATTTTTGTTTGTTTTTTTTAATCAATTTTGGAAGGAATGTAATTTTCTGAATAAAAACCACATTAACAGTTAGAATTTTGTTTAAGAAAAGTTTTCTCTCATGCTCCTTTGAATTTTCACTATGGTCCAAAATCAATATCTATTTAACACCCACTAATCATAAAAAAAAAAAACCTGAATGTTTTTATAATTGAAAATTTTGAACAAAAGTCTAGTAGTGTATAGTCAGCTTTACCTGTATGGAATTATGTGACATGTCCTGCAGACAACTAGATCCTGTAGAAATCTTCTGTAGAGGGATAGCCTGTCTTCCTGCTGAGGAACTTCCGATGCTGTAGACCAGGGGTGTCAAACTAGCGGCCCTCCAGCTGTGGTGAAACTACAAGTCCCATCATGCCTCTGCCTTTGGGAGTCATGCTTGTAACTGTCAATCTTGCAATGCCTCATGGGACTTGTAGTTTGGCAACAACTGGAGGGCCGAAAGTTTGACCCCGTGCTGTAGAGGTTAATAGCTCCAAGCCCTTTGTGAAGCTCTTGATGTGCACATACCTCCTCTTCCATTCTCCTCCTTTAGCAAAAGTTGTTTCATATTGCACACTGAATGTAACATGAATCACAGGATTGTCTCCCTCATTCAGAGATATCACATGCACTGTACACTATGCAGCAACTTTTCCCAACAGAGGAGGGAGGAGGAGATGGGTCTTCGTCAGAAGCTTGTTCACTGCAGCATCACAGAGTTCTTGGCGCTATTAACCACATTGCAATGTTCATCAGCAGTCAATTGGACTTAGGCCCCTTTCATATGAACGTTCTGATCATATCTGCCTGTCCGTTCGTTAGACGGACCTAATTGAAATCTCTATTCTCCCCTATGGAGCAGCGAATGTAAACGGAAATGTATTCATTTATCACCCACTTACATCAAATCCGATCCACTAAAAACGGATGGATGAGGATCTGTTCCCCTTCTGTTCAGCGGATCTGATAACAGTTGGGCATAAACGAACAGGTGGTCTGTTTAAATCCAACTATCCATAGAGGAGAGCAGGCTGTGTCTGTCTGTGCTCTGCATAAGCGGTGTGGACACGGACGTGTCATCCACCTGCTCAGCAGTGATCAGCAGAGAGATCCCCTGCTAAGCAATTGGATCGCAGGCGTATTCCACCCGTGTGAAAGGGGCCTTAGACATCCAGAGCTATGCTATAGACATTCTTCAGAAAACCTTCACATCTGGTACTCTGCACAGACATATCTAAAGGAGTGTATCCCAACAGGTTGCTCCAATGTACTTACTGGAACACACCACAGCTAAATGTATCTCGCCCATACAGCCAAGTTGGGCCACTATATCATTGATGGAGAAGTTAAAATGAACTTGATGTGGTCTAAAATGTTTCTAAGGTAACATCAGTACTGAAGTTCTGGCAAAGTACCTTCAATAGTCTTTCAGTTGATTCCTGTGTTTCTCTGGACCCCCTTTCACATGTATCCTACACCAAAGTTGTACATTAGGCCTTGACTTCTGCACAAGTGAATATTACATTTTGACAGCATTCTGTTTAGAACCACTCTCTCGCATTCAACTGTTAAATGTGTGTAAAAGCATGCATTTGTTCACATCAAGGTACAGATAAAAGTCATGTTCAGTTGTACTTGCTCAATATTTTGGAAAGCTTTTCACAGCTTATAAATGGAGTTTCCACCATTTTGAGGAACCCGCTGGAGAAGCTGTGAAACATTTTCAACATTACAGGATAAGTCTGGCTAAATGTAACACGTTCACTTCACTTTTCAGTATGATGTGAATGTGCTTTAAAGTGGTTGTTTAGAGGAACAAGGAAGCGGTATTTTTCAGTAATTTATTCATTCCACTCTTTCTCCATGCAACTGATCACCACTGGCTGATGCTATATGGAAGTGTGTGTGTGTAATAAAATATTTCTACAATGGTAGAAATATTGGATATGACATTACTGACTTGGTTTTTAAAGGTCTGGGCTAAAGAGCCACATCCCAGGGCTTTACTACTTAGCAATCACTGACCAGAAACAAACATGCAGGAAGGAAGTTCAAGCTTTTCAGGCTTAAATGGCATTTTACTTGTTCAAAGGCAAAATTTCCCATTTGGTAGGGACACCTGGATCAGCCTGACAGCCTTTAGTCAGCAACTAAAAGTACTTTATATGTAATTCCTAACAATTAACATCTCTTATTTGCTCCCCTTTGATCTGGTAAAACCTTTTAAAGCATTTTATATCTATGTAAAAAATACCTGTTGATCTTGTCAGAAATTCAGAGCTGTCCTGAGTCTTGTGCTCTCTACCTTTATTATCCCAAATGTTGGCCATACACCAATAGTATACAGTTCGCAAATTTTCATTTCAGAACGATCATTTAATTATCTATGGTCCCTTTCAGATGGGCATTCAGATCAGGTCCGCCCTGTCAGTTTTTCAGGCGTACCTGATCAGAAGGTCATTCATCCATATGGACAGCCGGGAGTAAACAGACTTATATCCATTGACACCCGCCTACCTCCGGGTCTGATCAAGCCCGCTAAACAAAACGGGAGAGGACTACATTCTCTTACATCTAGGTGGCATGGATCGGAGGTAGCTAGGTGTAAACAGACAACAGAGTACGTTTACTCCCAGCCACCTATAAAGCAGAACGTCCTTTCTGCAGATGCTGACCACACGCAGACCTGTCATCCACCTGCTCTGCTCCGATCAGCAGGAGATCAGTTCACAGATCCGCTACTGATCGCAACGGATCGCACCGTGTGAAAGGGGCCTAATTCTTAGGGGGTCAAAACAATATTTGTTTTTTGCAGTACTAAAAGAGAAAATAAAGCAGTGGGATAGAACATTTTTCTCAAACAAATAAAAACTCTTAACTGTGAAAGTGGTTTTCAGTTGGGAAAAAGTATGCAAATTGTAATGAAACCTGTTTGATACATCTGGGATTCATTTCAAAAACAGGTCTGGATGAAATTTTACGCAATGATGACAAGAAATAATGTTCTGACAAATTATTTTTCTATAAAATATCAAATGAAAATGTAACTGTTTATGGCCACCTAAGAGGGCTATTAAGTTCTCCTTGTTCTTTTCTTGGACTTAAAGTTAATTAGTTCCTATGTTAAGGATAAAGGGAAACTGGGAGTGATTAAGTATTTTAGCAAAAGACAATAGGCAGGGCTGAATCTACTCAGTCCACAAAAACGCTGTATGTTGTCAGCCCACAATAAGAAATTAAGAGCTGAGTGCATTTATGGCAGGTCCACAGGTATTTGTAGGGTCATTAAACAAATAAAACCTGGGCAAATGTGCATGTTTTGCAGAGATATACTGCATATGTGTATTTTATTTTGTCATTATATACGCTTTAATAATTAAGTCAGCATTGATGGCTCCCATATTTCTATTTTTACATCTTCCCTTTAATGCCGAATAGATTCAATCCCAAAACCGTGGAAGTATTCCAGCAATCATCTGACATGCACAAATATTTTTATAGTTGATGTTTCATTTCTACAAATTGCTGGCTTAGTCACTGGAATCTGCGGGAAAGGAAACTGCTCTTTTCAGTTCTTGCAATTATATGGCTTGCTGGCGCTCAATGTAGAAAACAAAAAAAAAAAAAATGCATCCGTTCACCCAGAGCATAATGTACTGCAGAGAATCATACAGGCAGACCTCCTTTGACTTTACTGAAAGTATTTGAAGTGTAAATGTAACCTAGAAACAAGTAGGAATGTTCACATTACTACTTTTACACCAGATATTTTCCTTTCAATATAAAGCCCCAGTCTTACATTATACAAAGGGTTTTATCACCAAGCTGAATAATATACATTAACTATCCCAGGAATCCAATACATTTTTGCTATTCACCACAAAGCTTGCTTTTTAAAAAGGTTCAGTCCCCCACAAAGTGATATTTCCAGCAGAAGTAGATTTTTTGGTGGAGAGTCCTCCTCTGGTTGCTTTCATTATGTGAGCACTGCAGTTGTAAGATCTCTGTTATAAGAACACCTATATTTCCACACCTATTTTAGCTCTGAACATAATAAAAGAAGAAAAAAAAAAAGCTAAAAAAAAAAAATCAGCACTGCACTTTAATACTTGCACATGACCCCATGGTATAGTCCTTTTAATGCTGAAAGTACTAAAAAAAATACTAATCCTGACAGAAAGGTGGACAGCACCTAACTTCCTTTATTAGGCCAACAACAGTGCCATTGTAGCACGCAAAATGCCAATCAGGGTCAGCAGTCCTGCCTCCCTGTCGGACTACAAAACACCTCCCCCTCTTCTCATATTCATAACTCTTCCTTGTATACATTCTCAGCTGCCTCCTGTTTTTTTTGTCCCTCTCCTGCTATTTCGATGAAGCAGTGGCAGCATTGTCAAAACACTATAGAAAGTTAAGAGCTGATGGCATTTCTGGCAGGATCATCAGGTATTTGTAGGAATTTGCAGTGTTTTAAATTGTTTTTAGGACCCTCCAATTGTAACATAACCGTATTCATGACATTTTTGTTGGGCCCCTTTCACACAGGGGGTCCAGTTAGGCTTTTAGAGCGGACCTGATCAGAAGCTCCATGTTGGTCTCTGGGTGCTTGGGCTGGATATACAGGTGAAACTCGAAAAATTAGAATATCGTGCAAAAGTTCATTTATTTCAGTAATGCAACTTAAAAGGTGAAACTAATATATGAGATAGAATCATTACATGCAAAGCAAGATAGTTCAAGCCGTGATTTGTCATAATTGTGATGATATGGCTTACAGCTCATGAAAACCCCAAATCCACAATCTCAGAAAATTAGAATATTACATGCAATCAACAAAACAAGGATTGTACATAGAACAATATCGGACCTCTGAAAAGTATAAGCATGCATATGTACTCAGTACTTGGTTTGAGCCCCTTTTGCAGCAATTACTGCCTCAATGCGGCGTGGCATGGAAGCTATCAGCCTGTGGCACTGCTGAGGTGTTATGGAAGACCAGGATGCTTCAATAGCGGCCTTCAGCTCTTCTGCATTGTTTGGTCTCATGTCTCTCATCTTTCTCTTGGCAATGCCCCAAAGATTCTCTATGGGATTCAGGTCAGGTGAGTTTGCTGCCCAATCAAGCACAGTAGTAATCCCTTGGTCATTGAACCAGGTTTTGGTGCTTTTGGCAGTGTGGGCAGGTGCCACGTCCTGCTGGAAAATGAAGTCAGCATCCCCATAAAGCTTGTCTGTGGAAGGAAACATGAAGTGCTCCAAAATCTTCTGGTAGATGGCTACGTTGACCCTGGACTTAATGAAGCACAGTGGACCAACACCAGCAGATGACATGGCTCCCCAAATCAACACAGACTGTGGAAACTTCACACTGGACTTCAAGCA